CTAAAAGTGGACGCCTCCATTGCCTTTTGAGCAACACGACTGTTCTAAAATAAGTCCTTTAATTATTTAATTTTTATTAACATCTATGCTGTTAATAGATAAGTTATTTTCAGGTACGGTATGTATATTATTATTATCAATGAAAAAAATATAAATAAATGAAAAGCTGGGGTTTTTGATACAGTAAGTTCGCCGGTTTGCGAATGATATCTTGTGACCTAAACCATTCTTTCTTAATTTAACTCTCCTCACCTTTCACACTATTATTTAAATATATATACAACGTGTATGAGCTGTGAAACAATAAGAGTGTCATTAATACGTAGATAAATGATGTTTCTTTTTTCGTCTTGGCCTCCTGTTAACTCGTGGAGGAGGAGGATTGTTTGTTATTATAGAATTGCATGTTGTCTTTTCCAACAGTGTTTTAGCTCAGACACGGATTCAATTATTAATAATTTAGACTTATTACGCATTTCCATAGTTGCAAGTACAATCGAGCACGCAGGAGCGATGCTTTGCATACAGAATCTTTATGTAATCTCAATCTTCGGTTAAACGTTTAGAAGGTAGAAGACGGGTTCTCACGACTTCTCTAAAACCTATACCATTATTCAATTAATTAAGGTTTTAAGTTGAGATAAAAAAGTCAGTGTCATGAGCGGGTTTCGAACCCAAGATCTTCGGCTTGATACGCCGCTACTCTACCACTTGAGCTATCGTGACATCGATCCCCTCGGGCACTAACTTCCCATCTCAACCGCACCTTTTGAATTTCCCTCCTTTTTACCATTTGGACTATAACATTATGTTTAACGATCCGGTATTCAGACACATTAATAACAACAGTTAAAAAAATATATATAATAAAAATAAAAGCACCTTGTCCAAATCGGATGATCGCATGAAACACAAAGTGATTTTGGATGTCAGATTTCACTCGCGCCATATCGCAGGAAGTATAAAAATGTGTACAATGTCCTCTGTATATGCGTAAATAAAAAATGACGAGAAAAAAATCTTTCATAAAAATATGAATAATAAGATTTTGGACAATGTAACAGATTATTTGCAAAAAAGTGCATTATTTGACGATTATTAAAATACCGAATGGATAATAAATGATCTACATATCCGGCAGTGACTCAATTCAAGCATCTCGGGACTTTCTAAGGAGCCAGATTATTGCCTTGAATAGTCACGGTCGCCGGTGCGACCGCCAATAGTTTGATAAACGCAAGAACAATACATTCACCGGCTTCTGGTCCTGTTTTTCCTCAACTAATCCAACAAAACTAAATATCTAAAATAAATTCGATGTTTTGATGCTTAATGATCTCAATGCAGGGGCTATTTGAATTTTAAAGATGCGCCTTTTTCGGAAACGATCTTTCATCGTTATAACAATATAACACGAAAATCAATAAAAATCAATAAAAGAAAAAATCTAATTAATTTTTCTCTTTTAATAAAGTTAAAATCTAGTTCAAACTTTGGATAAGAAGACATAAATTCCATTTATTAAATTAAATGCATACCAATTTCAGCAATGGAAGTGGCACTGGGATTGCCATCGTTGCATGGGATCCGGAGTATGGCGAACGGAAGTACAAACAGGCTCTTAGGATAATCTGAAATAAAGCCCGGCCTAAATGAAAACCAACATAAAATGCTAAAAAGTGATAAAAATGAATGAGATGGCTAAAAAAAGTCTGATAACATGAAATTAAAAGAACATTTTGGCAGACCTTTCCAAATAAAAAGAGTAAAACCCCAAAACTGGTAGAGAGGCATTTATCAAAGGCTCAAATTCTGACTTAGCAAAACCTCTAGTCCCTACACCATCATTTTTCAATCTGAAATCCAGGCTGAAGACTTTAGACTTCCACCAAAGCGGGTCTGGGAATGTTTATATCGCCAGCTCCTCGCAAAAAATAATGAGTGGATTTTAGGCAATGAACAGGCTCTAGTAAAAATAAGGTCAGTCTTCAAACCTTTTGAACCAGAAATGCTGGGGGCGTCGGTGGTCGCAACGGTAGGCGTTGACACGGCGCTCATCACTGTAAGGTAAAGGTCCCGGGTTCGAATCCTCCGGCCCTGTATTCGAACCCGACATACAAATGGACTTAAAACAGAAATGCTAACTACTTCAAAGAGTGCTAAAAGCGAATGAAGAAAGAAATAAGCGCACTGGATAAATCACCAGAACAAAAAAATAGATAGAAAACTGCTGAACTGTTAAGAAAAAACAGAAACATCGGAACATCTCTTATGTTTGCAAAATGGTAAGCTGGTGCTCGAATAACCAGACGGAGCTGTTTGCTTTCCAAAACCCTAGCTTGATTGGAGGAGAACGAAAACAGACCATTTGCACATATAACAAGTTTCACAGGGGGCGTCGGTGGCCGCAACGGTTTTGGCGTTGACAAGGCCCTCATCACTGTAAGGTAAAGGTCCCGGGTTCGAATCCAGCGGCCCTGCATTCGAACTTGACATACTTACAAATTCGTCTTTTTTTCAAAAACACCGGCACCCCTAGGGAATCGCTTTGCGTTTAAAAGTAGGAATGGATGGAAACTGACAGTAAAATGAATAAAATCGCATTGTGAAAATATTCAAATTGAGGAAGTGAACACGCCATTGGCCAAGAAGGGGGTTAACGGCAAAGTAGAATTTTTTTACTTGTTCCCTGATAACCTTTAATCATGTCAAGACTAAGAAGGAAAATATGGGAATGATACAAAAAGAATAGAAAACGACGAAAAAAGGGCTACACACGGACTTCCCAAATTCTCGCATTGGTACAAACATAAATCCGGACTAACCCAAGCATTGACAGGACGCAATCAGGCGTACCTTCCTACCAAAGAAGCTCATCAGAAGTGAACCACTTCAGTGCTCGTTGTTCCAAAAACCTAGAGCCACATTTAAAAGGTGCTGACTTGGATATTGCGATCATTTCTTGATTGATCGCTGAGAAGAGTTCCTAGAGTTTGTAACTTCTATAAACTCAACTGCCTCTCCGGGGTTTGCGAATAGAGAAGTCCATTTCACATCTTTCATATCGCAGTGGAAATAAGGGAGGCTAGGGTCAATCCCCTGCGACCCCGGAATGAAATCGTAGGCATTACAATTCGACGAATATTTTTCCATAAAGAAACTAATAAAATGTTTTATAAATTAATTATATTTTTTCTAAGGTCTTGGTTGAGATGAAAAAGTTAGTGTCACAAGCGGGATTCCAACACACCTAGCCGAAGGTCGTGGGTTCGAACCCCGCTCGCGACAATAACTTTTTCATCTTAACCAAGACCTTAGATAAAAAGTTTAATTAATTGAAATAATTAATATCGTCAATTATGTATGCTAAACATATATGGATTAATCTTTTATGAAATTTCACTAAGCATTACGATAAATACTTCGTTATATTTATTGCATCATAGTTGTCACGAAAATTTTGTTCATCGAATTAGTCGTTATTTTCCAAGTAAATTTCAAGTTTTTCTGGCACTTATAGTGATATAAAGCGATTGACGTATTCACGAAGCGATGATAAAACGATGACGGCAAAACTATGCCAAAAATCTTTACGAAAGATCGACATCAGATAATATTCTACAAATACGGTCAATTTTCAACAAGGTGTAATCAAAATTTAAACATGGGTTCAATTAATTTAAATTGAAAAAACAAAAACAAAAAAAACATGTTCGGTCAAGTAGTGATTGCATAACTGTGCATGATGGAGGGAAATAATTCGAATAAAACATATCTGGATAGTTTAAATATACGTTATAAATTTATTTACTTATTTTGTGTAATTAGAGCCTGGAAGTAATTTCGAGATATGTCGTTCAGAAAAAAGACTGAAAGATCCGATCATAGAAGAAAAAAGATAAGATACTGATCGAGAAACCAAAACAAAAGAATAAGCAAACCTAACCGAGAATATTTTTATATTAGCCCACATATCTTTAGCAGTAACCGTATTAATTATTTCAATTAATTGTACTTTTAATCTAAGGTCTTGGTTGAGATGAAAATGTCAGTGTCAAGAGCGGGATTCGAACCGATGACCTTCGGCTCAATACGACGCTGCTCTTACCACTGGTCACTAGTCGAGCCGAAGGTTAAGACTTATCAAATAGCAATAGCGTCACTTTTCATGCCATAAAAGTAGCATCTCAGATATAAATTACGACACATTTCAGGAAAAGAATTACTCTTGTATAGCAAGAGCTTATTATCCAACTATCCACGAAACGATAAAACGATGGAGATAAAACTATGTCAAAAATCTTTACGAATGATCGACTACAGATGATATTCTACAAATAGGTCAATTTTGGACAAGGTGTAATCGGAATTTAAAAATATGTTCAATTAATTTAAACGGAAAAAACTTATTTGGTCAAGTATTGATTATGCGTAATGGAGGAAAATAATTCAAATAAAAACGATCTGGATAGTTTAAATAAACGTTATAAATTAAATTTAGATCTTCATCAGATAATTCTGAATTGATTATAGACGAGAACAGGTGGACCGGACTTGACTCTCACACTCCCACTTTCGATTTCGCAACAGGCAGCTGAACAAATATGCAAAAAAATTAAAAATTATGTTTTTATTGTGTTAAAAGCATGTTTTAAAAATCTATGTTAAGGATTTCATGTAATCGTGATTGTTGTTTTGTTTTTTGAATTTATTATGAGGTGATTATTTTAATTTTCTTTAATTATAGACTTCTAGAAGGGAAGAGAAGTGTCTTAGTGGGCATAAGCAGGTGAACATTCTAATTTGACATTTGTTTGTTAATTTGTAAATAATAAAAATTTTCGGGGTTTTAGGCACTGAGAATTTTTTCCCCATAAATTATCACTTTCAACTAGGACTGGATTGTTATTGTCAATATTAACATTATCTCCAAGGTCAACGCTGATCGGTTAGTAGCTCATCATGGCCTCATTTAGTACGCGATCAATTTTGAAACGGAATCAGAAGAGATTTCTATTAATTAAATGAGTAAGAGGTCAGGTATCGTATGTATTAACATAACAGGGAATTTACGCGAGGAGCAGTGGGTCAGTGTTGGTGACGAATCGTCTGGCGGTCTTCCCGGAGATGATTCCCGTCTGGAAGAAGGGAGAAGCCGGCGTCTGGAAGAAGGGAGGATGACGTAGCCGGCCACCCTAGGCTTGGGGGATCCCGTTCCCTCCTCGGCATATAACATAAGCCGGCCTCCAGCAGCCGATCATTTCAAATCCACCTTTCAGGGTGTTGGCTTTGTGTGTATTTTGTGTCCAGTGTTCCGAAGGGGACGCACTGAAGAAATAGAACGCACGACAGAAGCCAGAGGATGCAGTTCAATTCAGCCCTTGCAGTGGCGATAAGCCTATTATTCGTAGGAGTTAGCGCCAAATCTAGGGGGAGTTCACCCCCTCATGTTGTTTTCATCATTGCTGACGATTTAGTAAGTGCATTTTATTTATTTATTTTCAATAAAAAAATATTTAAAAAATCAACAGTCCCGTTTAATTAATTTTTATTTTTTATTTTTCATCAATCAAAAGTCCTTTTTTTAAGCAAAACATCTAAATATTATGATTTCAATAATTGAAAATTGATAATTGAAAAAAGATTCAATAATTGTTATATATTTATATTTTTAAGATTTTTAATATTCATTTTAAACAATTTTAGTTTATTGTTAGAGTAGTTTCATTAATCCAAATGAATCCATTTTTTTAGTAAAACCTAGTACAATGAAGCTTTAATTTGTATATATTTAAAATTTAATTTTTATTTTAATGTGTAAATAATTTCAGCTGTACACAAACATCCAGACCCCACACAAACAATTTTTTAACTTAAAATTTATTTTAAAAAAATCAACAGGCTCATTTATCTAATTCATTCTAATGTTTCCTGGCTAATAATTTAATATCATCTGTTAGTTTTAATTAAACAAAAGTCCCTTTTTATCGAAGTACGTTATATTATATATTTTTAAATTGTGTTCACTTATTTTTTAATTCTTAATTTTTAATATTAATTGGAAATAATTTTGGTTCATTATTAGTTTACGATTTTTTTTTACCAAGTGTAATGAAGCTTTTGGTTGTAATTGGTTTATTATTTATTTTTTAAGGTTTAATTTTTTATGTTCAAATAATTTCAGCTTTACACATCCCAGAACAGACCCAGACACACACACACACACAAATATTTTTAAAATTAAAATTTATATTAAAAGTCAACAGGTTCAATTATTTAATACATTTAAATAGTTACTGCTTATTTCTTCGCTTTTTAAGATTTAATTGTTTTTAATGTGTATTAATTTCAGCTTTACACAGCGCAGTACACGACCCAGATCCTCTCTCACACACACACACATTTTTTTTAAAATTTATTGAAAAAGATCAACAGGCCCATTTATTTAATAGATTTAAATATTTTCTGCTTAATAATGAAAAATATCCAGCTATTTTTTTCATCAGTCAAAAGACCTTTTTGTATTAGCATATATTATATATTCAGTTTTTATGTATTTATTTTTTAAAGTTTTTGGTAACAATTTAAAATAATTTTAGTTCATCATAGTAATCAAATTTGGGACTTTTTGTAGTAAAACCTATGAAGATTCAATTTGTGTTTATATATTGAAACAATGTTGGATGTACCCAACCCAGTCCACGACCCAGACCCACACGCACACGCACACACACTCACACGCGCGCGCGCGCACACACACACACACACACACACACACACACACAAACACTCACTCACACACACATCTTTTAAAAAGCACTAGCCAACCTTTCTTAATTTAGTATTATTTTTGTCTATGCATTTCGGCCTGTTCCACAGGTCGCTCATAGGAGCTTTTAGAAGCTAGAATCATACGGAAAGCTCCTATTATCATGGACTATGTTCTAGCAAATCCAGCTCCTCTCATGAGGGACCTGTGGAAGGAATTGCAATTGACAATTTATAATAGTTTCTCATGCAAGGAAACCATTACAATAATCAAAATCGAGTCATTTTTGCCCATACTAAAGGCACGTACTTAATGATCTTGTTGGAGGGTTTAGTTTGGAAACATCAAAATAATTATTGAATAATAATTAACTATATTAATATAGTTGCAAATAATTCAGTTTAGTTCTGGGGGTCTACAAGTAATAAGAAGTAATACACGAATGGGCCTGGATTATTGGCGAGGACAATTTTTAAATCTTTTTATTGATGGTTACAACTAATAATCAATCACACCTATAAAATATCCAATGTATCCAGCATTGTTAAAACTTATTTTATTTTCTGCTTTGAGTAATTGATCGAATATAATTATTTCATCTGTGAACTGGCCTTTTACGTGAAGTGTGGACACTTGTGGATGTTCAAAAGTCCCAAAAAATTATTAAATATATACACATATTCGTTCATATTATTTTTATTGTATTTTTCCCGTTAATATAATTCGCCTGTTTATTTCAAGGAATTACGACCGGTACTTACTTATTGTCGTTTTAGTGGTTGATTTTTATTTTTTTTATTTTGATTATCAACCATTTAAATTTAACAAAAATCTGACGTCACATACTTTTCTTATAATTAAACTGTAAACGATAACGAAGGGGGCGTCGGTGTCCGCAACGGTTTAGGCATTGACACGGCGCTCATCAATGTAAGGCAAAGGTCCCGGGTTCGAATCCAGCTGCCCTGCATTCGAACCCGACATACTTACAAATGGGCTTTTTTCAAAAACACCGGCACCCCGAGAGTTGATATAACCTCTGCTTGTTGCGAACCCTCGTAAAAAAATTAAAAAAAAAGAAAAATAGCACGAAGAAAAAACAAAAAATCACAGAAAGAGGGTTTACGAAAAATCAAATAGGGCAAATTAATTAAACATAGAACAACAATAAATAAAATAATTTTACTAAAAATTATTATTATTAAAATTTATTTTTTTACTAAAAATTTAAAGTACTTCTGCGATATATTTACAAAATTCTGAAAATAAAGACAGCCGCCTAAAACGATTGGGTAGACTAATTTTCCGATTTGAAATTTTGACACGTGATTAGTTCTAAATGTATCCTTGGGACTTGTCTTGAAAATTTCAAAGTATAACTTTTTTTAAACTATTGTAATTCGTAAAAAATTTGTAAATCTTAAAAGTATTGTGAATAATTAATCAGAATCAATTAATCAATTAATCATAAGTATACTACAGTATATTCATATCACTATGTAATGTGACGTGAATTAGTCATTATCAGATTAAAATGGCCTTATTAGCGCTGTCGAATTCGTACGTACAGGCTTGTTCAGATGTGAGTAATAATTGGCGATTGAATCACCCGTTGAATAATTGTTGAAAAAAATTAAAGTAATTAATTTATTAGAAAAAAAAAACTCTTGTACAATATAGGCAAACAATGAGAATTCGTTTTGAGAATTAATTATCTTAAAAGGAAAAACGTTCATCCACCTAAAATAATATCTTATACATAATGCAAGGATACGTAAAAAAATTATATATTTTTCTTTAGAATTTTTTCTCGTTTTTATCTATCTGGTGTAGGTTTTTTCAATGAAGTCAAAAAGTGAATTGTATTTTCTTGCCTAATAAGTGCCAAACGTCTCTGTATCTCACTCACCCTCTCCAATGCTTTTCATTTCTCTCTCTCTCTCGCTCTCTCTCTCTCGCTCTCTCTCTCTCTCCAGGTAAAGTATTAAAACTATCAAAGAAACCTAACTTCGCGTGTTGAAATAAATAAAAATCAATCAATACGTTATTTCTTTCTCTCTCTCTCTCTCTCTCTCTCTCTCTTTCTCTTTCTCTCTTTCTCTTTCTTTTTCTCTCTCTCTTTCTCTCTCTCGCTCTCTCTCCCTCTCTCTCGCTCTCTCTCCCTCTCTCTCTTTTTTTACTTTCAGGTAAAGTATTAAAACTATCCAAGAAACTTAACTTCGCGTGTTGAAATAAATAAAAATCTATCAATATGTTATTTCTTTCTTTCACTCCCTCTATATTTCTATCTTTCTATCTTCCTATCTATCTATTGCTTTATCTCTCTCTTTTTTCTCTCTACTTCTCTCCCTCTTCTTACTTTCGCTCTCTATTTCCTACCACTTTAAATCGTATGCCTTGTTGTATATTCTTGTTTCGATGTATTAAATTATAATTATTTTGTCTCAATTCGGTTTCATTTCACTCATTGATTAAAAACTAAGTATTCGAACATATTCAAAACAGTAGATGAAACAGACGAACGAAAGTGAGATTTGTATTGTACTCTGCCTGGGAAATGTATACGAAAATTCGGCACTTTTTCGGTAGGAAAATTTTAAAAGCGAGAGAGACCTTGTTTGGCCTCGTTACTCATACAATTTTTCCGTCACTCACAATAACAAGAAAAAACGTCCCGTTACCGCACTGACGAACCGGTTTTCATATGGATTCTCACGCTAAATATGATTTAGCGTGGTCGTTAGTAAACGATTATGGGCCAATTATAGAAGATAGCCGATTTTACTTTTTTTGCCATTTTGGTTGTATCTTGCCCTTATATTATGCAATTCGTGCAATTCCTAGTCGGTCTGTTGCCATTCTTTTTATTTTTTCCATATCTAAAACTAGTGTTGTACCTGTTCAACATTGTTTTTTTTTCCGGGATTTTCACAATATCTTTACTTCATGTTTTGCTAAACTTCAAAGTACTTACTTAAAGATTCAACGAAATGATGTAAAAAGCTTGTTTTAAATTTACACATAAGAAACCAGGTGATGTAGGGCACAGCCGTGACCGCAACCTCAAGCATCTTGATTACTGCCCCAACTGAAAGCATGTAACGTTCGTGAAAAATGAAGGCCAACAAAGACAATTATGCCTAACTTCTACTTTTAATACGGATGCTAACATAGTACAGATCCTGACCGTCCTGGCTTATCAATTACCGTTTATTTGTTTACAATACAACGAGAATGAGCGGACCTCAGCCGTACTAAACCCATTTGCTTCAATGAAAAGAGAGATTCGAGCACACGCAACTTAAAACCAAGGACGTATAAAAATCTGGAGTTTTCCTGTTAGTCTATCTTTTTTTTTAAATACCTATTTTTTTAATTAGCTGGCGGATTACACAGTTTTATTAGAAGAAACTTCTATTAATACCTAGTAATCTTGATTCTCAAGGATCTCGAAATTCATTCACCTGCTAGATAAAAGAGGAAACCATGTGCATTGAAGCATTGTATAACTTCAATATGCATTAATTATTAATTAATGATTTCCTATTTTACGCGTAATGAAACTACTTAGGTTAGCACTATTTCAAATTTTAACATTTTGTCGAGTGACGAATATAAACTTTTTAACATCGAAAACATCCATTGACAGAAATACAGACAGACAGACATAAGAGAAATGAATGTACATTAGATTAGAAACTTAGGGGTCGCTTATAGTAACTGATAAAAATTGTTTGCTGAAAAAAAGTTGGGAAATCAAAATAATATTCTTAAAAATATTGTCCTTTTTTAACACATTTGTTACATTTCTTCGATTAGAGAATTTAAAAATTTAGAGTTTTGAGTAGAAATAAAGTCAGAATTTTTGGGCCTGTCAATCATATTGATTTTCCTTTAATGAACTTGTCCAAATTCCTAGCCGGATAAAAATCGTAGAATAAACTGGCTGCGGAAAAACTTAAGTAATATAATAATTACTATACTTATTATTATTTTTTCGGGAAAAGTCTTGGGTTTAGTCTAGGAATAAACAGCGCGAAGCAAGGGCACGATGGTTTTTCCTCGGAAAATTTGGTTTTGGCACGTGTCACCCTGACCATCGCCGATTGACCAAAATTTTATTGGACCCATTTTTAATCCAAAGTTATTATTAGAGAAAATATTCAGGTTTTTTACCAAGCAAGCCACTTTACGTCTCTTGAACTCATGAGGTAGCCATAAATCGGGTCTTTTGATTTTTTTAATTTTTTAGTATTTTTTAAATTTATAGCGCACCTGTATTCAGTTGTTCTGAGGTTCCTGTAACAGTTTGATAAAAGTTTCCTCCTACAGTAAGCTTAGAAGACTTTTTCATAATTTTACATTTTCCTAGCTTTAAAAAATATGTCAGCCATGGTACGACCTCAGAGGTGTAAACAGGGCAGTCTTTATAAATTATTTTATCTCTTTTTATTTACGATAATCTCTTACAAAATAAAAAGGGGCCTAGAAGTGAAGATCAAGAAGAAGAATTATTTAAAGTGAAGAAAACATGTTGCTCTTCTTAATACATTTTTGGCATGCATTGTGTATTTAGCCGTTTTTCTCTTTAGACAAGCAATTCTCATTCAGAAAAACATGTTTTAGTCGGTTTTTGGCTGTGAAGAAAATTTAAACTTTCAAAATAATGCAATGCAATATATTTTCAATTGTAATCGAGAGTATTTCCCCGAATCGCGAAATAACGATATATTAACGCTTTGGTACAATTAAAGCTCCAAAGTGGTCGGAGGGTAATTACAAAAGGCGGCGAATTGCTGCATTCTCGGTTTATTTTTCATTCCAGAACATGCACCCAAGGCCTTTGAGGTTCAAAACGACCCCAGTTTACAATATCGTCCGCGTAGAAGTTTAGAAATTATTAATAAGATAGAAAAATAACAGAAAATTTTAATGTTTTGCAGGGTTGGAACGATGTCGGGTTTCACGGGTCTGATCAAATCCCGACGCCCAACATTGACGCGCTGGCGTACAACGGCCTGATACTAAACCAGCATTACACGCCTGCTTTGTGTACGCCATCAAGGGCAGCCCTTCTCACCGGCAAATATCCAATTCACACAGGTAAATTAATCGATATATTAATTAACAGGTTAAAAAATACAAAAACGAGATAACACAAAAATAAATAAGTAAAATGCTAGAAGGTGTTGGATAAATTTAAATACAATGCGACGTTTTTCTCAACGATTATTTGGAGATCATTAGGTGCGGTCTGGTGTGACGTAGGTTTTAGAAAAACATTTTTTTTTATCGTTCCAACGTTTCGATCTTTATTGAGATCATCTTCAGGGCTCAAAGTGTTTATTTTCCGTGTCATTCTTGTCTGTCGTGTGCCCAAAACCCGTTTTTCTCAACGCTTTAATTCAAAGAATGTCAGTTCTGTGCTTTTTATACTTAAAAAACTGCGTAAAACAGAATTGATTTTAGAAAGGTCTAAATTGCTTTTACCGATTGTTTCAAGTTTACCCAACTAAAACTAAATAGCTAACAATTAATTAAGGTTTTCAGTTGAGATAAAAAAGTCAATGGCACGAACGGGATTCGAACTACCGATCTTCGGCTTGATACGCCGCTACTCTACCACTTGAGCTATCGTGACCTGGATCCACACGGAACTAACTTCCCATCTCAACCCCATCTTTTGAATTTTCTCTCCTTTTTGCCATTTTTCAAATGTCGTGTAATCAATTTGATTCTCAGCGACAAATGGCCACGGAGAGCTTTAGTGAAGCTGAGCTTTATGTGAGCTTTAAAAGGAACTAAATAGCTAAGTTCTGCATCTAATTAATGTCAAAATTGAAAATTGATAATATGAACCTTCAGACGAATCCGACCGACAGGCGTCTATTGCCAAGACAATTGTCAACCCTTTCCTCTTAGGATGTGTCCAAATGATCGACAATCGTGTACAAATTCTGGAAGGGAGAATCGTTGCATTTTTAAAGTAGCAAAATGAATAAAAATTTTACCCAAGGCCAGTAGAATAACAGTCATGTAAAAATGTGTCGTCTGATTCACCAACCTTGCTATTCTGGACCTGTAATTTATTTTTTTTGACTGGGACTTCCGACATCTAGGTCATTTCAGCCCCCAACTAAGTCTATATTCTATTTACCCTACACATAAATACATCCATACAGTACACTCATTCCGTTTGGTCGGTGGAGTACTTGATATTACTCCACCGACCTATACTCAAACTAATCTAGATTGTGGCCGATGGAGTACTTTTATCAATATTCTGCCATCGACCCCGAACACACACTCATACGCTCTCAACGTTCGAGGGGCGATGATGACATTATATTTCACCTTCACCTCTCGCCATTCATGCTAATAAATACATGCACTCAGACAAAACATAGACACAACACATAAGACATATTATATACAATAAAAAAAAAATTTCCCCAAAAAAGAGGAACAGGGGACCCAGAAACCCGCTGCAGTGCTCGAGTACCATTTTCAGATTAGACGGCATGCCTACACGCTCCCTGTTGGGAGCCAAGACATGACATGTTTCCAGTAAGTGGGACACATCGAGCAACCTTTCTCTGCATAAGGGGCACCTGCGCGGGCTTTGGCTCAAAAGAAGGTGCCCATGTACCTGTAAATATTGTCAGATTGTTTAAATTTTAATTAATAGAAATCCTGAGCTTATTTCTTCCGATAAATGAACATGGTTAAATCTTGTTCTCAGTTTTATATATCTTTTAGTTGAAAAAAAAAATGCTTATTTGCAGTAAATATGTTTGAAACCAGGGTTTTAAACGTTGGGTAAATTCTGAGTCGGTGGTAATTCCAATTTCTTCATCTCTCAGACATATATTAGACCGGTTTTATTGCCGAACTCAAGATTTCAGGCATGAGTTGCAAAATATTTGCCCATCTCAAATCGGAGGGATCTTATGAAATTAATCAGTCGTAATCGAAGATTTTCCATTCCAACTTCAGCTTAATTGATCCCCCCCCGACGCGATTCAAAACACCTCACATATCTCGTTTTCTCACAATAGATGAAAATTGGCCTGCAATTGGTGATTAGTGATTACGAAACCGCACTCGTTATTACATGCTCGTTACTGAAAAAACATGGGAAAATCTGAAGTTTTTTTTATCGTTAAATTTTCAAACAATCTCTCATCAAGTGCATTGGCGATAATTTAAAAATTTATTAGCGCAATATCATAACCCGGTGGTAAACATATTAACATAAAGCCCTACAATACAATCAGAAACCACTTTCCGGCGCAATAAATAAAATTTATTGCGCTAATCTACACTCCTTCATTATTCTTTGTTATTTGGCACTGTAGTTTTATTTATTTATTTTTTTAAATTATTTTTACGGCGGTTTGCAACAGTAGATGTCATAATATTAACTCCCGGGGTGCCGAAGTTTTTGAAAAAAGCCTATTTGTTAGTACGTCGGGTCGAACTCAGGGCTGCTGGACTCAAGCCAAGGACCTTACGGTGGTGAGCAGCGTGTCAACACCTTAAAAATTTTTGTTATGACATAATCATCAAGTCTTGCGTGTAAAATGAACAATTGATTTTGATCTCTTTGATAGCCTGAAATGCAAGGAAGGGATCTATGCTCATACGTTAAGGATAGGCCATACTCGCTTGACACACGAACACCTGCTTTTGGGATAAACCCCGCACAGGTGTCCCACTGTAGAGAATGGTCACTCAGTGTGTCACACTTGGTGCCAAGCACTGGCCCCTTACATGGAGCGAGTAGGCATGGCACTATAGTGAAGATATGAGAAGCTTTGATCTGGTAAAACCTCCTAAAACTCCATCAAAGCCAGACGAATGAAAACAGTCATCTGTAGATGTAACAAGCACAATAAATTTTAAGTCATCAGCAAAGATAAGAGTTGTGTTATAAAAATGGAGGGAAGGTCGTTGAAGGAATGTGCATCAGATCAAACTTTGATTATTTGAGTCTGATAGTGTTTAATACAACAATTGGTTTGCAGTTAGATTTTATAGGCCTCCTGTCTACCACGGCCTGTGTACCGTGACCAGTATTAGTCTATTGGGCATTTTTTTAATCTAGAGGTCCTCGTTAAGCTTGAGGCTTTTTACCAGGCCTCAATGATTTTTCAAGGGCTCTCAATCCTTCTGGCCTTGGATTTCCTCTCCCAGGATTAGGAATCTCGGTCTACAACGGCCTTCGCACCAACAACGCCTTCTTCTTCTTGGCAATATCTGCCACGCTTGTTTCTGCGCCTCCGGAGTCTGCAGTGTTCAGTTAGCAATCCAGCTAATATTCCAGTCCGAACACGTGCTAGATTTAGTAGTTCTACCGTTTCTTTCTGCGATGGCCTCTGTCCCGAGCAGAGGACTTATTATTAATCTATTGTCTAATGGATTCACGTATTTGGCAGTTTGTTAAGCCACAAAAGGTTCAGGGCCAATAGGTGTCCTTATTGAACATACCTTGGCCAATTTAATGGCCACTTCGTTGCCCCTCTGCCCTGTGTGCCCTGGCACCCAGACGGGTTTGTTATTTTCCTCAATATCTAACAGGGCTCTAATGCAGTCCCAAACGACTCTGGACTTTATCATTGATGCGGCAATTGCCATCAGTGCCACCTGGCCGTCTGAGTAGCTTGCTATTCTTCTATTGACTATCTTTTTATCTCCCTAGTCCAGGGCTTATGATGATGGTCAACTAAAATCTAAGACAAAATCGTCACGTGATCCTGACATATTTTATTTTTAACAATAACAGATTGTAGTTGACTCTATCAAATGCCTAGAAATCTGTAAAATATATATTTTTTAATTGTTAAAACAAACTTTATATGTTTTAGGTATGCAGCACCTTGTGATTTTGGAAGCTGAACCGTGGGGCCTCGGCCTCAATGAGCACCTGCTCCCCGAAGCACTTGCCAAAGCCGGCTACAGAAGCCACGCCATCGGAAAATGGCACTTGGGCTTCTACCGAAAAGAGTACACACCGACATACAGGGGTTTTGAATCGCATTTCGGCTACTGGCAAGGATTTCAAGACTACTACAACCATTCTGTGCGGGCAACCGTAAGTCAACAACCCTTCTCAATTCTCTCTATAAATTTGAAACGGTACTTAATTTATATTTTTGTTTAGTTCGAACCGTATGATGGATACGATATGAGGCGTAATTTACAAGTGGACTGGACTGCCAAAGGGCGGTATACAACTGACCTCTTAACTGAGGAGGCAGTCAATGTTATTGAAAATCATGATACGTCAAGTCCTCTGTTTTTGTACTTGGCTCATCTCGCTCCTCATACTGGAAACATGAGGGACCCTTTTCAAGCACCGGACAATGTAGTCGCGAAGTTCTCGCATATAAAAGACCCTGAGAGGAGAGTCTATGCCGGTGAGGATTTTAACGATTAAAAAATTAGAAAAAAAATGAAATATGGGAATTTTATTGAAATTCGTTTAATTTTAGCAATGGTGTCGAAATTGGATGAGTCTGTCGGTGAGGTCGTCGCGGCGCTCCGGGCTAAAAACATGCTAGACAACTCTGTAATTGTTTTCATGTCAGACAATGGGGCACCAACACACGGCATCCACTCGAACAGAGGATCCAACTATCCACTGAGAGGTGTAAGTTCAATTCCTTTTTGAAATCAAAAATCTTAATTTTTTTAGTGGGATTATCATCACTAATTATGTTTATTTTGTTCAATAGATTAAAAATTCGGCCTGGGAAGGCGGAGTCAGAGGTGTTGCTGCTATGTGGAGTCCTCTTCTTAAGAAACCTCAAAGAGTCGCTAATCAGCTCATGTACATCACAGATTGGATGCCTACCCTGTATTCCTTAGCTGGTAATTTACATTTAACAATTTTTTCATAATTTTTAAAATTAACTGCAACTTGGGGTCACTTGGGTCCCAAGAATCAGCATTAGGTGTGAACCAGATATCAAATTGAAATCTTAAATCAAATTGAAGTTAAATTTTGGTATAATGAGAAAAGAGCATATTCCAAAGTCTAGGTTTGACAGACACAAAGCTTAGTTATTTTATTCACAAGAATTAAAATTTGATTTTGCAAGTTCTCTATTTAAGATTGTCTATTGTTTGTGGTTAAGAAGTTAACTTTTTGAATTACCAGTTTTCTTGTTATTTATTTAATGTTTAAAAATTTCAGGTCTTGATACGAAAGACTTGGGAGAGATAGACGGCTATGACATGTGGAAATCATTGTCTGAGGACCTTCCATCGCCAAGAAATGAAGTTCTGTACAACATAGATGAAGAAGAACTGCCATATGCAGCGATCAGAGTCAGGGATTGGAAGTATGTCACCGGATCGCCCACTGGTGAGAGGAACAGCGGCTGGTACGGTGAATCGGGAGACAACGCCGGAATAGAATACAGCCCGCAGTCTGTCCTCCTCTCGAAAGCTGGCATGGCGATTTCCGCATACATCATCAAAGAGCAGATATATTATAAAATCCATCTGGCCGCTTCATTAAATAGTGTCACAGATAGCAAACCAGAACAAAAGATGCTAGATCTACTACAAATTCCGACCATGCTTGACCTAAGGGGAGAAGCGGAGTTGGAGTGCAAATTGGACAACATAACTGACAACACCGTTGAATGCAGGCCCATGGAAAGTCCTTGTCTTTTCAATTTGAGATATGACCCTTGCGAAAGGAACAATTTAGCCCATAAAAATCCACATATGGTCAGAATTCTTGAAGAAGCCATTGAAAGGTAATTATTTAATTTTCTCATAAAATGATTTTTCAAGAAAAATATTGAAAAAATCAACTTCTTACATAACCTGGTTTTTTAGGTACCGAAAAACAATGATTAAAGCAAGAAACCAGCCAAGTGATGCATCTGCCGACCCAATATTTTGGAACAACACTTGGACCAATTGGCAAGACGAAATTGACCGACAGGATGACCTTTTTGACATAAATCTATCTGAATACATCCCAGTCATATTTTACATTGCTGCCGTTATTATGTGCCTACTGCTCGTGTTAGTACTATTTCCGAGACACGTTTTGTCAAATAAAGTCTCTCCCGATAAAAGAGAGACCATGTCAGTGTTTACTATCAATCCACCATCTATGACTGGGAAAATGTGAAGCAAATGTTCTCATCCAAACCGATAAGAAATCAGAATTATCTTAAAGCTTTAATGTTAAGTACTCCTTGTGAAGAAAATTGTGATAATTTTTATTATATTTACCTTGTTATAAGAAAAAAGCTTATGTGTTTATGTATTAGGTAGTTTATGTCAGAAAGGTTAATTTATTCTAGTGTTATGTGTTAAGTTTTTATATTTAAGATTTGTACAAACTTAAAAAAAAAAGATTTTTGTAATGAAAATTGTTTTGTAAAAATGTTATACCTTTGAGGTTATTAAAGTTCCTGAATCAAGAGGAGTTCATAAATTACTCATTTAATGACACTCATTCAGTATTATTATAAGAATTGTGATTAAATGTTTATTGTCCTAGATTGTTTTTTTTTGTTTTTTTTTATATAATACCCACTCACCTCCAAACAAAAAAATCCTGTCAACATAATATACTTCACAATAATTAGCATTTGTAAAGAAATTAACACAAATAGAGTTTTATATTTCTGTACTGCAGTACCCTAAAGTTAATTAAAAGTAAATTAACTACACCATAACTTTCTAAAAGTAATCACACATTTTTAAGGTAGAAAACATGTAAATACTTTTTGTAAATGGCGGTTCTGCTCACAGAATTTGTTGGTTACAACTATTTGGATTTCGAGCATAACTGCTCATTATCAGGTTGAAAGAGTGCAAACACACATACGAAATGTAAGAGTGACTTGAAGAGGCTGACTGAGAGGCGAAATGTGCTGTATCGAATGGTATTTACATGCTGGAAGTGCCATGTGAAGACTTTGCTGTTTTTCTTAAAGAAAAAATTTGGAACCTCTGTCAATCGGAATGGCGAAATATCGAGGATAACAAACTCAGAGAAATTAAGGAAAGTGTCAGACAGTGGGACACGGCAATGCAAAGATCTCGAAAAGAAGAAACCGTGCTGGCCAGGCTCAGGATAGGTCACACAAGACTAACACATGGTTACCTAATGGTCAGAGAATCTCGCCCAAGATGCACAACTTGTGGTGAAATAATCACCATCAAGCATATTCTGTCATCATGCAGAAACTACGAAGACCTTTGGGTCAAACATAAGATTGGAAACAATGTGACCGAATTTTGAAGATTCCCCAGCTAACATTAGAAAGTTTTTTGAGTAACTAACTGAAACTGGGTTGACTGATAAATTGTGACAAACCATGAGTAGGAGGGCGGGGTGGCCTTGGGTGCGGGCGTGGCTCCTGGGGGGCCGGTGCCGGGGAATGCGTGGGGCTGGCCTCTGGGTTGAGTTTGACCCCCGGAACTTGGGAGGGCTGCAGATGCTGGCATACCATGCGCAGCCCTCTGAGAAGTCTTCCACTGTCTTAACCACTAAGGCCTTTTGTGGAGAGGAGCTGGTCTGGGTGTCTGGTTCTTGCCTGGTCTTATGGTATCCGGTTCGCTGTGGGGGCATGCCTGCTCTTGATGTCCCTGCCCCTCTTGGCTTATCGCTCTCTGTTTTCTTCTCTCATTGATTAATTCATCATCAAGGCAGTTTTGACCCATCGTGGTTGTATGCCTTTATAATATATAAAAAAAGTATAAAAAAATAACTTGTTAATCTCCCACCAACACAATGTTCCAATGAGAAGCTGCTTTTATGCCGTTCAATTTTGTACGTGTGAAAAGCTTGAATTACAAGACAACTAAATATCTAAATAATGCCTGTAAGGAAAATTTTAAATAGTAATTAATTTGTATGTCCAATATGTTTTAGGTGCATGTCTAAAATAGGGGATATGGTATGGTGGAAAGGATACTAGGAAGCGGGGTTTGTATTCCCCAGGCACTGCAGCCTTCTGGCTTATTGTACCTTCTTAGTTCCTTAGTTCAGTCAATAGACTCAATCCTTCTTCTTAGAAGTATCAGGTCATTGACTGTTGCTGCAATTTGATCCCCTAAGTCTTTTCCGTACGTTAGGTTAAACCTCCATTGTGCTGTTGCTTCGCATTCGAAGATGATATGAGTGGCTGTTTCTTCCTCATCATTACATAATCTGCAAATGGGATCATCGCTGTATATACCCATGTTGTGTAGATGTTTTCTCAGACACCAGTGACCGGTTAGTAGTCCCACCACTCCTCTGAGTTTTGCCCCCTCCAATTGCAGCAGTGTTTTTGCCAATCTTGGTGAGGGTTGTTTCATCAAAAGTTTGCTGTGTCTAGCGCCGCTAGAGTTTATCCACTTCTCCTTTTGTTTTGCTTGGATCCATTCTGTGATGGAGGATTCTATGTTTGTTTTTGTTATTCCAAGGATAGGTTCCAGGCCTACGTATGGTCTTGCAGATCCTCCTCTGGCCAGTATGTCTGTTTCCTCGTTACCCAAAATTCCCCTGTGCCCTGGCACCCAAGATATCATCAGGTTGTTGTGTTTCCCCAGGTTTTGGAGATTTTGGATGCCTTCACTGACTAATTTTGATGTGATTCTTTTACATGCTAATGCTTTAATGGCTGCTTGGCTATCTGATCTTATAAGGATTTTTTGTCAACCTCTTCTAAGGTTTTCCAGGGCACAAGCATTGATGGCATGTATTTCCGCTTGAAAGACCGAAGTGTACTCCCTAATGAGTTTGATTGCTCATATTTTGGGCTTGTACAGAAAACGCCAGATCCGGTTCCTTCGTTTGTTTTGGAGCAATCTGTGTACCATATCACTGTATCTGATGCTCTCATGTGTTCTTCCTCTCCTTTATAGTCTTTTGAGACTTTATAGGGAGTTGTGAAGATTGTTTCCGGGATCATGTAGTCAGTCCCTATTTCTAATAATGGGTGTCTGATTTTGAAAATAGGGGGTAAATCAAAATCTATCATAGTATTCACCTCTACTATTTGTACCAATGTACATATAATGGCAAAACAGTAAGAAGTTTACTCATTTTGGTCCAACTATCATTATTGCTTGACTGAAACATTTTTGTTTTCTACTTCTGGTTTGCTTTTTTTTTTTTTTTTTAAATTATAATGCAGCCCATATTAAATTATGAGAAACAATAATTGTTAAAATAACACACAGCACTCCGGGCTGAATTGTTAGTAAATTATTAATAAATTGGCAGAAGAAAAGCGATAATTTGAAGTTTGGCCATTTCTGATCATTTTGGTCCAACTATCATCCACATTTTCTGAGGTGGTTTTTTTAATTAATATTTCAAAAATAAATACTCTCCTATTTCAATAATAGGACAATTTAGCCTGTATTAATTTGTGAGAAACATTGCTAAACTAGACAGTTCTGAAGGCTGAATTGTCAGAAAATTATTAATAAATTGACAGCCCTAGCCAAAAATAATTAAGACCTGTCTTTGGCGCTGTAGTCAAAAAGAAATTTATAAGAATGAAAAAGTGGATAAACTAAGCGCATTTACAAGTTATGCTCTGGTAAATGTTTACAAAGGTTTAAAAATCCACTTGTAAACAATTTATAACAAATTTAAAAAAAGATAGGAAAGAATGTATTTAAGAGCTAGCTGCTGATATTCTCTGGAACTTCGGTGGCTGGACGGATAAACCAAGGTCTCACTCCCGACTGGCCACACCCAGGGTGGATGATTTTCGAAGTCTGCCAGTAATTTTTTGTAAATTACACAAAAGCTGCAATTGCCGGCAGACTGCAAAAAATGTGTGTTTATGTACATCAGAATTGAACTTATATAAATCGGTACAATACTCTCTATGGAAGGCAAGCAAAGAGCCAAAGTTTTCGCTAGTGCTTTTAACTAAATTGTTAAACCGAATGAAATTATTAATGACTGGGTACTAGAAGTAATGATCACCAAAGAAAAAAAAATGTATAGCTAATTACATTTAAAGAAATGTTGACAGAAATTAAAAACTCATCTGCTAAAATTGACACCAGGATATGACCATATCATTAGAGAAATAAAAAATAAAAAAAATTGAAAAATTAACATAGCTATTTAAGCTGCAAACAAGACCTTTATCGCTACTACCAATAATGTGCAGGTAAAAAAATTATTATTGCTAAACTAAACAAACCAAGATGACTTCCTACGTAACCTGCTGACATTTGACTATTTTAGAGTCAAACGTGATCAGATGTTCAGAACTAAATATAATAAATAAAAGCAGGTGTGCCTCAAGGAAGCATACCGGGCCCATCACTTTCTTTGCATCATACCAGTGATTTTTGAAAATGGGTGAGCTAAAAATTGCAATGTTTGTAGATGGTGTAGGGTGATATCAATAGTATCAACAATTCATTAAATTCACTAATTTTGTGGTCTGCTTGACCAATTAATATATTACAATTAATTAAGGTTTTAAGTCAAGATAAAAAAGTCAATGGCACGAGTGGGATTCGAACCCACGATCTTCGGCTAGATACGCCGCTGCTCTACCACTTGAGCTATCGTGACTTCGATCCACTCGGGCACTAACTTCCCATCTCATCCGCACCTTTTGAATTTTCACTCCTTTTTGCCATTTTTCAAATGTCGTGTAATCAGGTTGGATTCTCGATGACAAATGAAATGGCCACGGAGAGCTTTAGAGAAAATACTTCATTTTAAATCATTAAATTCACTAATTTCGTGGTCCGCTTGACCAATTAATACATTACAATTAATTAAGGTTTTTAGTTGAGATAAAAAAGTCAATGGCACGAGCGGGATTCGAACCCACGATCTTCGGCTAGATACGCCGCTGCTCTACCACTTAAGCTGTCGTGACTTCGATCCACTCGGGCACTAACTTCCCATCTCATCCGCACCTTTTGAATTTTCACTCCTTTTTGCCATTTTTCAAATGTCGTGTAATCGGGTTGGATTCTTGACGACAAATGAAATGGCCATGGAGAGCTTTAGTGAAGCATACTTCATTTAATTCATTAAATTCACTAATTTCGTGGTCCGCTTGACCAATTAATATATTACAATTAATTAATGTTTTTAGTCGAGATAAAAAAGTGGTTTCGAATCCCGCTCGTGCCATTGACTTTTTTATCTCAACTAAAAACCTTAATTAATTGTAATATCAACAATTTTTCCAAAATTCAAATTGCATGTAAAAAAAGTAAAAAAAGGGACAAAAAAATGAATAATGAATAAAAAACATATAGAAATAAGTTTACCCTTACATTAAAAAATAAAATATTAATCAACAATCAAGTTTTAAAATCTATGTGGGCAAAAACTTGATTGTGCTGTATAATTCATTTTTTAAATCAAGACATGCAACATTTTAAATTTAAAAAAAAATTACAAAATAGTTTCACTATACATCGCATTATATTTTTAGTGTAAACAGATACCAATAACTCTAATCTCTTAATGACAAATTTAATCTTTAAAAATAATAAAATTTAATCTCAATTGTAATTTGCAATCAAACGATGTATAGTTCTAATTACATTTAATACCTTTTATGTAACTTGTCAGTTTTATTATCCCACCGAATCGCCCCATTTAACTCAAAGCTGATAGATAACGTAAATCTCTGAGTTGATAATGGATCCGTTCACGTTCGGTCATTTGAAGGGAAATGACCTCTTATTTTAACTTTTTATTATTTCTTTTGTTAATATTTATTGTGTCCGCATTTAAAAAGCCGCCAAATATTGTGCTTATTGTTGCTGATGACTTGGTAAGCAACTGTTTCGAAAAATTAATTTAACAAATTGCAATGTTATTTTTAAACCAATTATTGATGTTTGCATTCACATCATACAGTTTATTACTTACACTTCATTTTAAAAATCTAGCAATACCGAACTAATTAAAAACTTTTTTAAAAAATTTTATAGGACCAGACAAATGCAAGTTTACATGAGACAAATCAAAGTTACTCCAATTGCCACTGTTTGACATTGGAAAATACATTTTCACTTCATATAAAATAATATCATGTAGACTCATTATACCTAATATGTTTAAGGAAATGAAATGCTGTTGATTGAAAAAACTGAGTCTTTCAACGTTGAGATTGGTATGGCGTGCCATGCTTGGGCTTAATTCACATTACCAGAAAATAACAGTTTGGACAACAAAATGACACGTCAAACAATGATATCGCTTATAAAACTTTAAAAAAAAAATTATGAGTGTATTTCAACTACGAGGTCATATGAACCCTCGGGGTGCTGATGTTTTTGAAAAAAAGCCCATTTGTATGTTGGGTTTGAATGCAGGGCCGCTGGAATCGAACTCGGGACCTTTACCTTACACCTAAACTGTTGTGGCCACTGACGCCCCCATGACGAAGAAAGTAGATTTTCTTTGTTTTTACTTTTTATGTGTTTGCAGGGATGGGATGACGTTAGTTTTCATGGATCTGACCAGATTCCAACTCCTAACATCGATGCTCTTGCTTTCAATGGAGTGATACTTAATCAGCATTACACCTTGGCTATGTGCTCTCCATCAAGAGCAGCACTTCTCACAGGCAAATATCCGATACACACAGGTAAAAACAAAGCAAAAAATTAAACAATAAGATATCAATTGGCATTTTCACAGGTATGCAGCATTATGTTATACAGGAATCAGAACCAAGAGGGCTGAGCTTAAATGAAACCTTACTTCCACAAATGTTGTCAAAAGCCGGCTACGAGAGTCACATAATTGGAAAATGGCATTTGGGTATGCATAAAAAAGAATATACTCCATTAAACAGAGGATTTAAATCACATTATGGATTTTGGCAAGGCTACCATGATTACTATTCACATTTTATTAATGAAATAGTCAGTAAAAATCAATTTTTCAGGTCATAAAGTGACAATTAAATTTATGTATTGACGTTCCCAGAATCCTCCGTACGATGGATATGACATGAGAAGAAATATGGACGTCGATTGGGATTCATATGGGAAATACTCGACTGATATTTTTACAGAAGAAGCTGTCAAAACAATTAACGAACACAACAAGAGCAATCCTTTGTTTCTTTACATAGCCCACCTTGCACCACATGCTGGAAATAAATTGACACCATGCCAAGCACCGCTGGATCTAATCGATAAATTTTCATACATAGAAGACCCAGAACGACAGGCGTATGCAGGTAAGCAGGTTAGACAACAATTAATTATTTTGATAAATAAACCTGGTGTGTTTTAGCAATGATGGCCAAACTTGATGATTCAGTTGGAGAGGTTGTTTCCGCTCTTAAAAATAATAGCATGCTTGCTAATTCTGTAATTATCTTCATATCAGACAATGGAGCACCGACAGTTGGCTTTTTGAGAAACAAAGGTTCAAACTTTCCTTTTAGAGGTGTAAGTACTCAAAAGTTAGAAAGATTATGTTTTTTCTTTTATTAAATGCCTCATAAACTCACTTATTTAGTATATAGTTGAGTAGTTGATTATTTAAATGTAGTTGGGGAAAAGGGTATCATGAAAAAAGAGCCAGACAGTGCGAACCAAATCCACGACCGTGGGGTTTACGAACCAAGAGTCGAGAATCTATCATGCTAAACACTAAGCTACTGCAATCCCCTGCATAATTTCTTCAACATTATACAGTACCAAATTGTAAAGTATTTACCTGAATCTGATTATTATTATTATTATTTTTACAATTAATTAAGGTTTTTAGTTGAGATAAAAAAGTCAATGGCACGAGCGGGATTCGAACCCACGATCTTCGGCTTGATACGCCGCTACTCTACCACTTGAGCTATCGTGACCTTGATCCACTCGGACACCAACTTCCCATCTCACTGCACCTTTTTGAATTTTCCCTCCTTTTTGCCATTTTTCAAATCCCGCTCATGCCATTGATTTTTTTATCTCAACTAAAAACCTTAATTAATTGCAATATATTAATTGATCAAGTGGAACACGAAATTAGTGAATTTAATTTTTTTTTTTTTAATATGTGTTAAGTCATTCCTGTCATACAGGAGGGCTTAAAGCCCAGCAATCCATTGAGAATAATGAACAAGAGGTCAAAAACAATTAAAAACTTTTTTCCAATTCCATCTGAAAGAAAGTCCAAGGTTTACTGGGAGACAAACACAGAACAGTGAACAAGGCAAATATGAAACAGACACCGATGTCCTTTTTTTTCATTTATAAACTGTGATGTTATATTTGAAAATACAACAAATACAATATACATTTTAAAAGCTCTTGACAGATGCGATATTCGTCTTTGAAGTATGTTTTCAGCAAATCAAATTAAAGGTGGGTTAATGACAAATATGATCAAACTTAGAAATTTAACTAAATTATTTTAAAAATTATTTACTCAGTTTAATGCCAGTAAATTATGTTAAACAAAATTTTGTTTATTAGTTAAAAGCAACGGCGTGGGAAGGAGCGCATAGAAGTGTAGCAGCAATTTGGAGCAGTCTTATTAAGAAGAACCACAAGGTTTCAGATCAACTTATGCATGTTGTCGATTGGCTACCAACTATATGTTCTCTAGCAGGTCTAGTCAAATAATGTCTATATTTTTCTGGCGTTCTAACAAACCAAAAAATCTAGGTGTTGATATAACAGATTTGGGAACTATTGATGGTATAGATATGTGGAAGGCCATTTCTAAAGGGGGAAAATCACCGAGGAAAGAACTTTTATACAACATCGATGATGTTGAGAGTGCTTATGCAGCGTATAGATCAGGAGATTGGAAATATTTGGTAGGATATCACACAAGAAATTTCATGTTTAATGATTGGTATGGCAACTTCACCAATAGCCATGATGTAAAGTACAATCCTGTTTCTGTACTTAATTCAAAAACTGGTCTTGCTATTACAAAGTCAGCGGCTAAGAGGAATGTAAAGATGTTTAAAAAGAGAAGGAATAAAAAAAAGTTTGGCAAAAAGATAAAAAAATTACTACTGAATGTCAAAATCATAAACAGAATGAGAAAAGAAGGGATGGTACGATGTAATACAGAAGAGTATGTCTCTTGTGATCCTTCCGTCAAGCCCTGCTTATTTAATCTGAAGGATGATCCTTGTGAAAGAGTGAATTTAGCTGAAGCAAATCAAGACATTGTCAAAGAGCTTGAAAATTCAATAAAAAGGTAGAATGTGATTATCTTTTGTAAACAAATTATGTCTATATGGAAATTTCAGGTACAGGAGTACAATGGTCAATGCTCTAAATTTAGGGGGAGATTGTAGGGCAGATCCCAAATTTTGGAACAACACCTGGACCTTCTGGATCAGTGAACTTAATGAAAATCCCAAAAATATATCGTGTAAATATTTAAAAATATAATGGCAAAATAAAATAGCTGGTTATTGCATTTAACGAATTTGTGGTTTATAAATTTTGATTCACTCTTCATCATAAGTGTACAAAATAATTATGTCCTATAATTTTGCCTAACAAGCCTTAATTTATATTAAGCACTCACATATTTTCTCTACTTCATGGAAAAACATGGAATCATGGATATGCTACTTAACTGGTCCCTAAACCTAACCTAACCTAACCTAACCAAACTCATGCACACTCTTCTGGTAATCCAAAAATTGTCAGGCTAAATGTTAGAATATAAATATATTAAAATTACATTTCCAGCCCAAGAACATATCTACATTGATAGGATTGTAATTGTGGCCTAAAATAAACTTCAGAGAATACAAGTTCTATTAAATCCTTTGATTAAAACTGCATAATGCACAACCGACTGACAAAATTATAGACACATTAAAAAATCACAATTTCAACAGTCAAAAAGGATTTCTTTTGCTATTAGATTATTGTTCATGATATTAAAAGAAAATTAACTCTGGAAATGGCTTGATCTGATAATCTTACGCAAATGTACATCTCGAAAAAAGTTCGATTTAAACGGCCCGGACGGATACACATACTACTTTCATAATATAACTAAAGAAGAAAAAATTTTGTCACGGCGCCAAATGGGTGGTGGATCATTGATGATTTGGGGGTGTACTGGGTGTAATAAAAAAGAAAATCTTTGTTTTCTTCCAAAAAAAGTCAATTCGGAATATTACAAGAAATTACTGGACAAAGAAAAAACTAGTTTCAGCGACTTATGCGAAGGGACTCCAATATTCCAGCAGGACAACGCACCCATACACAATGCAAAAATTGTTAAAGAATGGTTTTCACAGAACAGCATTGAAAAATGTGAATGGCCTGCACTCTCACCAGACTTGAACATTATAGAAAATGTATGAGGAAAATTATCGAGGATGGTATATCAAGACTGTAAGCAGTACAAATCTGTTGATGAACTTAAAACAGCTGTCACCACTGCCTGGAATAATTTGCCTCAAGATTTTATTCAAAATTTGTACAAAACCATTCCAGAAAGATTACTGGAAATAATAAAACTGAGTAGTAATGCCACAAAATATTATAACCTTGTTTTAAATTGATCCCATGTGTCTATAATTTTGTCGCAGACAAAATCGTTTAATTTTAGTATTTTCATAATTTTTTCTCTTATTTACTGAAAAATTAAAGTTTAATGGAGAAAAATATTTATTTCATGTATTTTGAATAAATATTTGTAGTACAAACCCATTACACTAAAAAATCATAACAATTAGGGGTGTGTCACTTGGTTGTACTTTGCCTTAGTTGTAGACTCATCTTTGATACTTTCCTAATCATAGTAGGTCACATTATATACAATAAAACTTGTAAAGTTATTAACAAAAAAGATAATGAACAAGAATGAAAACAAAAACAAGCGTGAGATAACCTATAACATAACAATTTCTTTACAACAAGCATAGCATTAAAGGCCTAAGGGGGAAAGGTCATAGGGTAGGAGGATGGTGGCTGCTTTACATCAACTTCCTCTTTTTAAAATTTACTTGCAGGATACTTAATTATTTGTATTTAACCTTTACATTATCATTAAATATTCAGAAATCGTGAGATGAGGGTCTGGTGTGATGTAGGTTTCAGAAAAACATTTTCTTTATCGTGCCAACGTTGCCATCTTAGTCTGCCTTTTCTTTACTGGGTTGATCGCATTTCATCATCTACCTATTTTCAGTGTGCGTCTGGGCAAAAGTACGGACAGGAAGATTGAACTGATCAGTAACGAGCAAATTAAACACTAGCACTCAGAGTGCAACTGATGAATAAACAATAAGAAGTTGATCAACATGTCCTTCAAAATTTACAAATTGTGTTTATATATAGTGTGGTTGTGAGTAACTTTTGTAGAAAGTAATTTCTGTCGTACAGGAGATTTCATACAACCCATTCATGGGGTCAAACCACTTTACATATTAGATTATGACAAATGGAAATTAACCATTTAAAAAGAAATAGGCTCTGCCAAGATCGGTACCCAGAACATCTAACCTGGAAAATACGAGTTGGTTGCCCTAACCTTGCAAAGTTTGTATAATTTTATTATCTTGTCCCATATCGTTTGTTTATTTAATAACTATTTACACTACGGATGGTATAAAACACCACCATGATTTTGAATGTGATGATTTCCGTGTCAACGCCTAAACTATTATGGCCACCGATGCCCCTAGCCAAACAATTTTGTGAAGTATCTCTGGATCATTTTATCTGATAGTCCTCAGTCATGGGCTGTGTAGGATGACAAACATGATATTTCGCTTGAAAAGGTTAAAAAAAGAGAAAAAAATTGTTGTTTCAACATGTTTCAAATGTTGAAAAATGGCAAAAAGGAGGGAAAATTCAAAGGTGGGGTTGAGATAGGAAGTTGGTGCCCGAGTGGATCGAGGTCATGATAGCTCAAGTGGTAGAGCAGCGGGGTATCTAGCCAAAGATCGTGGGTTCAAATCCCGCTCGTGCCATTGACTTTTTTATCTCAACTAAAAACCTTAATTAATTGGCCTAGATTTAATGTTTAAATATTTAATATTGTTTTTTTTTAGAGTAACTTCATGTTGAGGTTTGTAGAAGGGTTGGCCCTTAAGAGGATATTTGAAAGAGGTGGTTAATGACAAACTGTTTAATATAGATTTTTTTTAAATTTATTACACAGTAGGAAGAACATGAGCTATTTTACATATATACAATTCTTCCTTTATACCTTTGAAAATAATAAAAATTCATTCTTTTTCTGTTTTATTATTTTTTTCTCATGAAAACAAATATAAATTTTCATATACATTTATATTGAACAAAAGGAAATCATTTTTCATCTTCTAACTGCACTTTACAAAAAATACTGTTGTCCCACAAGAAGCTGATTTTTTTTTATATTTTTAAAAAATTTCTATTATGATAGAAATTTTTCTTTAAATATGAAATCTGAAGCTTGTTTTATTACTTACAATTCTTAAAATTAGCTCATCAGTGTGCGTTTTGGATCAGCGCATCTACAAAATTAAATATAATAAAGTAAACGATAATAAAATTAAACGAAGATCTAACAATCCACACTCAGCTATTCGTTCTATTTGTGGGAAATTAGTGTCAGTTTTTCTCTTAGATTTACATCTCCTAGAATATTTTTTTTACCATAAAAAATTAAAGAAAGAATATTCTTCATTAATCATTTAAAATCGTGGACATTTCGGAGAAATCATGAGCCATGAAATGTAATCACAGCACTTTGGAAAAAATAATTAAATCAACTAAAGACATTAGACGATTTTATACTTAATTGATACCTTAAGAGTAGTAGTGGATAGAATTTATTTTTTCTAAGACGATTGAGAAATAACATAATCAAAGACACATCTCATTCACACCCATGAAAAAAAAGAACGCATTCATGTGAAAACCAAAATGATTGAGATCATTGCTTTTCATATACAATTTTTACAATAAATTTTTTTAATTGATTTTCCACCCGTACATTAGTAGGAATATTTACATAGCGTACATAGCTAACATTACTCACTATATATTAACATATTATTGCCAACAATATTATTCAAAAGTGCCTCTTTTCAGAGTCAATCTCTCATACTTTATCAATTTAGTAACCACTAATAAACTCTAAAATTATATTAACAACTAGTATAATAATTATTCTTTCTTTCTTGTAAAAAAATTATTTTTTAAATAAAAATTATTCTATTATAGTTTCTGTTAATACTTTTAATGAAAAAATTAATGTTTTAGCACTGGCCACGGTTATTAATTTCACGGATTAAGGAAAATATTTTTTTCGCAAAACATTAATTTCTTGTGCCACATCACTTCTGCTTTGGGGGAAAAAATTATCAAATTTTTTTATTTTCTTTAGATTGAAAAAAGCTTGGACTAATTATTAAAGCGAATTACTGAGCCACAAGTTTGACGTCTCAGTTTTAAGTGAGTAAAATCCATTTTAATATTATTAAACTGCTGCAGTTCTGTATAATTATACAAGCCGTCCTTTATTAGTTTTCAATAATTACCACCTAGCAGAAACTGTGATAAAAATTGTATTCTTATAAGAGTTTGTAAACAACTGCCTGACCAAATTTCTGTTTTGAAGTTAATACATATAATTTTTTTTTTAATATTCTTTATTTAAGCTCTATGTTTATTAAGCTGTTTATCTCTATCTTCAGTCTTAGATGCATGTGTTTTTCAGAATGGCATAACATGTTAATAATATGAAGTAACACGTATGAAAAAAAAAAAATGGTGGGAAATTTTCAGTATACATATTTTGTCTTGTTTATGTATGTTATGTACAATGAGGTATGGAATACAGAAATTATCACAGGGTGGTTTTTGTGATTTCAATTTTCACCCTCTTCCCCACCAAATTAACATGTTACAATGACAAAAAAAAAAAAAAAATAAAAATAAAAATAAATTGAAATAATCAACAAAGAACATTAATTATTTGTAACTATTAATACTAATGGCTCCTTATTTATTAGTAATGACTTTTTCTCAGTCATTTGTCTTCAAAACTCTGTTATAAGACACACAACTTTTTGTATATGTCCGACAACACCATCTACACTTTCATTTCACATTCACCATTCAAAAAAATACTAAGTTGTTATATAAAATCTATGGAACATTGAATGTCTCGTATGCAAAAACTATGTACACCATTATAGTTAATATACAATGTAATAGTCGTCACTCTGATGATCAGTCTCTAAAATTGGATATGTTAGTAGCATCACTGAAGTTTAGACGTACCATTCTTTAATATCTTTTGTCTCTCGTTTCTTTGGCTTACCATTACCATTTTTAACAGCACCGTTTACAGCAGTGGCTTGTGGTGTGGGCGGTGACTGATTTAATAGAGCTGCACTCTGTCCAACGTTACCTCTATATCCTTTACTTTCGTCTACTTTATAAGCGCCGTTGGATCTATTTTTTAACTTGAGCACTATCAGAATGACAAGGATTACTGCGATCATCGACCCTGCAATGATGCCAATGATGAGTGCTGTATTTTCAGCAGCTTCAGATGAGATTCTGTCTCTTTCTTTTGGATAATACGACGTCGGTGGTTGTGGCACAGGCGGAAGCGGATAGTATTCAATGATTGTCGGCGGTGTCCTTGTAGTTGTTGTTGTCGTGGTTGCAGATGAAGTTGTAAATTCAGATGTGCCAGATGAGCTGCCGGATGATACGCCAGTACTGTCTACAGTTGTCGAACCTTGGCTTGTTCCTCGTTCAGAAGAAGTAACTGAAGTATCGCTCGTGCTTCCTCCAATTCCACTGCTTCCAGTCACAGCAGTTTCAGTTCCAGTGTAATTCGACTCTGTCGCTCCAGAAAATCCTGTAGTTGCAACATTTGACTGAGTTGTAGTATCTGTTAAAAAAAAGATTGATTCAATTAACAAAGTTCTTCTAAAATGTTTTGACAATTTTAAATAAATGTCCACCTTTAGAAGTTGAAGGTGTTTCTTCAGATGTGACTTCACCAGAGCCAGACCCGTCAAAACAATCTTCATCATCACAATGCTTTATTGATTGTTTTCCACCAGTAGCATTCTTAGATGTGACTGGTGGTCTGGTAGGAGGTACATAAACAGGAGTGATGAGGTCATCACCTAAAGCAAAAAATAATTTAAAAAATGTTTATAAACATAAAATTGTGTTCAGTATTACCTGAACCAGTTTCAAATACAGGGGTGCATTGATCTTCATCATCATCATTACACCCTGAACCAGCACCAGAGAAAACCAAATCATCCATAACTCCAGGATATCCAGAAGCAGGGGTCTGTAAATAACAATTATGATTAAATTCACTAATTTCGTTGTCCGCTTGACCAATTAATATATTACAATTAATTAAGGTTTTTAGTTGTGATAAAAAAGTCAGTGTCACGAGCGGGATTCGAACCCACGACCTTCGGCTAGATACGCCGCTACTCTACCACTTGAGCTATCGTGACTTCGATCCATCGGGTTGAGATGAGAAGTTAGTATCTGAGTGGATCGAGGCCATGATAGCTCAAGTGGTAGAGTAGCGGCGTATCAAGCCGAAGATCGTGGGTTCGAATCCCGCTCGTGCCATTGACTTTTGTATCTCAACTAAAAATCTTAATTAATTGTAAATATGATTAAAAATTACTGATATTTTAAACGTTTTTTGACTGACCTGTTGCATTCTTTGATATGGCTCATGGAGTCTGTCCCTGATTCCAGTTAAAAGCGTGACGTCCCCACGCACTTCCGTCCTTGGATCTTGTTCTGCAGCTAAGTCAAGAAGTCTTAATCCGTTTAAAACAAGTCCTGACATAACTCCAACAAACGGACGTTCGACTTTCTGCTTTGCTCTGTTCCACTTCCCTCCAGCTTGTATCTGCGCCTGGCTGTTAAAAACTGACAACTGATGTCCTAGAAAGTCCAACATGACATTCATTACTAGACTTTTTTTTTGAGCGGTTGAGAATATTCTGAGTATTACCTGCTGGATGATTAGTTTGAACGTTGTAATCATCAACCTGAATAGTTGAGTTAGCACCAGATCTAGAGAACCTCACGACATGGTACTGGTTGTCATTCACTTTGACATTGATTTCTCCTATAGGATGGTCATTAGTTCCCATATTGTAGACCATAAAAATATTTCCTTCAACCTGGATATAAATAATTATTAATAAACAAAACGTTTATCGAATTGTTTCCACTTACTATTTCAAGTTCCATGTAATCGTTTGATGTGCCACTATCCACCCGAAGGAGAACGGCATCATCTTGGTCGGTAATAAAACCTAAAGCCAGGACATCACTCTTCATCTCCGGCCTTCTGTCTTCAGGGAATACATATGTAACTAGTCCTCTATTCGGTCCAAATTCATATGCAATAGATTCTGTAAAATAATAAGAAATTAATAAAAAATAAAGGATAATATTTTATATTTTAATTTACCTTCTGTGCATTTAGGACCAGTGTAAGAAGTCATATCACAATCGCAAGTATAGGAATTCCATTGCTGTACACACACTCCTCGATTAGCACATATGTTGTGGCTACATTTAGTACTGGGTCCTGCAGTTAAATTTTACAATTTGAATATATTTTCCTAGCAATAAAATATAGACGCACCATCACAACCCGGTGAAACTAAAGAACTTGGAACTACTGCGTCGTCAAGGATATTTGGAGATTCTCCATTGAGGTCTAGCGAGGCCAAACACCCTTCATATCCATGCTTAGACTGGACATGCTTTGGTAATCGAGAAAATCCATCTTTTGGCAAACCACCTGAAAATCCGTTATCATTACAGGGAAAATCATAATTGACAATGTAAAATTAATCATACCTAAATAAAGAATACCACCAAGGTCCAGGTAATCGTTGTGCCCTCTACTTATAATACTTGCATAAGTTTCGTCTATAATCAAAGTATGTTGTTTTGGAGATGGCCTGCCTATTGTAACTGAATGCCATTTATTATCGTTTAGGATTCCTCTGACATTGTCTCTCAATTTGACAGGGCCGTCTCCGAGGTCGAAAGAATAAACGATATGCCCTTGATTGAGTTCAATAGCGATGAAGTCTTGTTCCCGTCCAGCGTTGTATAAAATTAGGCCTGAAGGTTCTCTTGTTTTGAATTGGAAATATATATTCGGCCCTGAGTAGGCCTTTAGAACTGGAAGGCCGACAAAAGTGTGCTTCGACTTAAATGTAACAGGATGATGGACAAGCTGGTGTTCACGTCTCGAAAACGTAGCTGTCACTTGTATCCTTGGTGTATGACCTCCGGCTTATCAAAACAATTTTGTTAATATTTTTAATACGAGCATAACAGTTTTAAGCATACCAAGAGGTTCAGCGGTTCCATGGGTCGCTCGTGCCAATTCAAAATAATGTACCCCATTGTAGACAAACTGCTGCATCAAACCAACAAAATTAGGTACTGAGTTTGTCATTTGTATTTCTTCTTCATCATGAAACATTCCGCCGATATGGAGATTCCTAAGTTCAAGTACACCTCCTCTTCCCAACGCAGCTTCAACTGGAAGTTGAATAAAAATATTTTTATTTATGGCTTATTTGAGTCTTGTTTTTAGTTTACCTATGACCGGTGTTTCTTCGTCAACTTTTAAATTTATAGTTTCACCCCTTCTGGAATAACTGAGGGTGTGCCATTGATTATCATTCAACCCTTGCCCACAATGAAGTGTCTAAAGTGAAAAAATAGATCATATTTAAATAGAGGTAAATTATTCAAATGATGGAGGAAAATATAGAAATAAATAGTCAAATTCTGATAAATATGGTAACACGGCAATGGATTGAGTACAGTATCTACACCTTCATCCATGACTTTGTAAACAGTTGCTTCATTCAAAGCTCACAGGATAAGGAAGGATCAGGGATCCCAGCCATCTCGGATCGCAACACAGCCTCCTCAGGAAGGACCCAGGGCCATGCCATCCAGGGTGACCTGAAGCCATTCCTGGCTGATCTAGGGTATAAGTCTGGACAGTACCAGAGATTGAAGATCACAGTCTATTGAAATGGAGCTCAAGTCAGTTAGAGACACAATTAAAATGGTTTCAGTGTCAGTTCAGATTGAGTCAAAGGCAGAACCAGAGTGAAATCAATAAACTGAGACTGTAGGTTAAGTCTATCAAATGAACTCATCATCAAAAGTTCGGCAATCCACTGCTTCAAGTCCTACAATCCAGCCCAATAAACACCTCCCTGTAAGCTAAGCAATAAAACTAAACATAAGCATTGAAGATTCCAGTGTTGGGCAAAAATTAGTCATGTCTAATGATTAATGATTGATCACTCAGACCGTTAGTCATGATTGGTAGTAAGTGACTAATTTAGTCATTAGTCGCCATATGTGATTGATGGCTAAATTAGTTATGACTAGTAATTAAATATGAGGCATGACTAATTTAGTCACAATATAGTTAGTCATAACTAAATTTCAATAAATCATGTTCAAATGGGTTCTCAAAAAATGAAAAATACACTTCATCACTTTTAAAAAAATTTCTAACAGAAATTTATTTCAATACCTTATTTAACAAAAATCAATCTTCCATTTATAAGTAAAACTCCGTCGTTATGAAAAGTCAAAAAATAATGATAATGATAATAATAATAATAAAATAAAATAAAAAAATCCTAGAACAAGCTACGCTTTGAAAAGTAAATATGTTTACATAACCGATCAATGGAAATAATATTTCTTTGAATTAAAATTTATTCCACTTAAAAAGAGGGATTTCTACATTATTTGGAAAATACACCATCTAGGGGTCTTGATTGGAATGAAATAGACATGTAGAATAATTATGTAACTTTGGTTTTCATTTATGATAACAATTTTTGAAGGTTGGCCTTGAGCACGACTCTCATCTCAAAATTTTTATCTGGAGTCGGTTGGATTTTGGTAAGTTGGTCATTGTAGCCAGAGTTGGGCAAAATCTAACTAATTCAATCATGATTAAGAATTTTGATTGAATTAGTTAGATTTTGCCCAACTCTGGAAGATTCCTTCAATATTGTCTCTCAATTGGACAGGTCCGTCTCCGAGGTTAAAAGAATAAATGATGTACCCTTGATTGAATTCATTATCAATGAAACATAACAGTGATGGTCCAGGAGTCAGTTGAGACCAAATAAAATGAATAAAAACAGTGTAGTTAGAATGAGAACCTCAGTGAGAGAGTCAGGTACAAAGACATGAGTCACCTGAGTCCAGAGTTCATCATCAAAAGAAGGCAATCAGCGACCTGTCTTCATGACCTATGACCAAGTCTCACAACGTTCCTTCCCTGCATTAAGACTGTATTCTGAGCAATACAATTTTGAGACAGAGGCTTCCTTAAACTGAAGCATTTATTCAATTATGCCCTTTTTCCTGTAAAAGAGCCTTTTAGAGGGAGAGACCCTAGGCAATAGAAAAAATAGATCTGTGTCACAATACAATATTAAAATTTGTAACTTTCTAGTTTATTGTTCATTTAAATTTGTCTTTTATTATAAACAAATTTCTTCATATGATGCTGTTTTGCAATAAAGTTAGTTTATTATTTGTTTTAACTGTTACAACAGTCAATTTTGATCATTCAAAGTTTTTCTTTAACTTTTCATTGAAAATCTCTACTTTAACAATTATTAATTAAGATTTTTAGTTGAGATACAAAAGTCAATGGCACGAGCGGGATTCGAACCCACGATCTACGGCTTGATACGCCGCTGCTCTACCACTTGAGCTATCGTGACCTCGATCCACTCGGACACCAACTTCCTATCTCAACCCCACCTTTTGAGTTTTACTTCCTTTTTGCCATTTTTAATCCCGCTCGAGCCATTGACTTTTTATCTCAACTAAAAACCTTAATTAATTGTAATATATTAATTGGTCAAGCGGACCACGAAATTAGTGAATTTAAAAATTATTATTAAGTTAAACAATAAATATATGTAATATATTAAAGAAATAAAAGTGTGTAAAATTTCTTGATCATCCACATTGCAGATAAACTACTTTTAACTCCAGTAAGATGAGAATATCAATTCCTGAGTGGGGTGGAAGGTGAACCATCTTAAAGTTATTTACCAGCCTCAACTCTGCTTTTGTCTGTTAACTTTAAGTGGGTCATTTTCAAACTTTAAACGGCTTTTCAAAGTAACTTTTTAATTCGATGGAAAACATGATGTAAACAGGATGAAAAGTCATCTTTTTCTCCATTCTTCAGATTTCTAAATTGCAAATTGTCAATATTTTGATCTCTGAACTTGAAAACTAAATGTTATTACCGCTTATGCTTTAAAAAATTTTACATTAATTTGGAAGATTTTTTGTTTTTCTACTGTAAATATTGAATAAATCAATTTACAAATAAATTAGGCCGTTTTTGTAAAAATGCCAATTAAGTATTAATAGAACAAAAAAAAATCCATGTTTCCGTTAGCCAACCATAGAAGAATATTTCATAATATAATTATCAACGGCATTTATAATATATTATAACTTACTTTCTCTTTGTCTCCTAATCTGAGATTGAGACGGAGTTTCCCTGAAGTGACAGTGAATTGCAGACGATCTCCCGACTGTTCTGTGCTCGTCACAAAAAGCAGACTCACCGGTCGTGTTGTCCTGAACCTGAATCGCACTTCTTCGGTTTGACTCCGGAGCTCTCGAGCCAGCCGAATTGTCATGTATTGAGAGCCATTGAACGTCAACGTAGTGGCTTCTGCACGTTATAATTGTATAACATCAGATTTGATAAGTTGAGCGGTTATTATTGGTCTTACATGCATTAAAATCTCTATGTAACTGAAAATTGACAGTAATTAAATTATTTGAACTATTTTCTAATTTGATGTTTATGCTGCAAGTGTGATATGTAAAGATTATTAAAAGTAATATTTTTTGGTGTAGTAAACCATTTCATTTTACAATATAATAAATAAATAATTAAAATATTATGTAACATAAAATGTAATAAAAATGTGTCTTGTAAAATTTTCATGTCGGAACCCTATAATTCACATGCAAAGATCCCTCCTCTAAGAAAGAAATTTCAGCTGAAGTGGCATATAAAAAATGGGTTTTATATCACATTGCTGAAATAGAGGTTCGACTAAACAGGAAAAATGCAAAACAGAGCAATAACGTGACAAGGGACAATAAACGGAGGGTTAGAGTTTTAAAGATGGAGATTATTTTTGTAATTTCATTCAGCTATAAGACTAATTAATAACAACAAAAAATTAGATCATTGCACTGTTTTATAAAATTGAAATAGATTTGAAACAAATCTTTTAAATATGTAACTTAAATCTGAATTGGCAAAGTTGGGGAAATCTTATTCATTACACACTACAATCATGAATGGTAATAATTTTTTTTGCATTTTTTGCAATAAAATCAAAATATAGCGTAAAGTTTGCTGATTACCTTTGCCGCATGTTGGTCCTGTGAAAGCTGTAGCTGTACAGTCACAGACAAACCTGTTCCATCCTTCTGAGCAAACACCGCCACTCATACATGGCTGGGATTCACACTGTGGCATCTGTCGGTGACATGCTGGTTGTATTGAACCTAAACAGTAAAAAAAAAGATAGCCAGGGAACAAAAATGCATTTTCAAAATTTTAAAGTGCACAAATAAATTAATTGTATGATTATCAAAATATAACATTAACATATCTATTGTAACGATTTTGCTAACTATAACCGTTTTATATTTAGAACCGTTACGGAAAGAATTCCTGGCACAGCAACTCTGCGGATGATATTCTCAAGAGACTAATTAATCAAATGGAAAATACCCTCTAAGGGATTGCAATTCGTAATTGTTACACAAGTTCAGTCTGAAATTTGAATTAGCCTTGGTAACAATGTTACCACACTCAGCATTTTACAGTTGAGACTCAAATGCGTATGTTGTGAATTTAAAATTAGACGATGGTTCTAAATGTTCCGCAGGCTGGTGATATATTTTAACTATAGGTTTGAATGTTTGAATATTACTAGCAATAATTCTAAATATCTCTGGTTTCAAATATTGTTAATAATAAATTTTATGCTGTTGTTATACTGTTACCCTAGGTTTGGAGAAATGTTTTACATACATATGTAACGTTTCGATTTGAATGTACCGCCATGCCCCTCCACACACATCTGACAGTGAAAGGAGTAGGGGCTAGGAAAGGGCTATTTTTTCAGTGAAAAAAACAATTCCTTTTCTGTCCTCCATGGGTTAAGAGCTGTTTATTTATAATTAAGAAAATTTGGTGTGCACACAATTCAAGTGAGTAAATTTTATATTTTGATGTCAAAAAACTAAAAATAATAATTGTATTTTAATTTAAAAAAGGGTTGTCACAAAAAATATATTTTTATAAAAACTAAAAGAGATAGCATTTGATTTTAAAAGTTATGTTAAAATATTAATTGTATTTTCTCATTGGTCGTCAAAAATTAATAATAATAACAATATTATAATTAATTAAGGGTTTTTAGTTGAGATAAAAAAATCAATGGCACGAGCGGGATTCGAACCCACGATCTTCGGCTTGATACGCCGCTGCTCTACTTGAGCTATCGTGAGGTCATACCATTGACTTTTTTATCTCAACTAAAAACCTTAATTAATTATAATATATTAATTGGTCAAGAGGACCACGAAATTAGTGAATTTAATAATAACAATAATAATAATTTCCTTTACTTTTACTTTTCTTTATAAAACGAGAATCAACGTCGATTTTAAAATTAATGTTTGTAGATTCTGAAATAGGTTTTATTATAGAATAAAAGATTCTTTAAATTAAAATTAATAATTAATAAAAGAAATTGTAATCTTTTTGAAAATAAATTGTAATAAAAGATTAAAATTTAATTAATATTTTGGTCTCGTATTTATTTTGGTTTGAATTGAATATTGGAATTTTGTATATCAACAAAAAGGTGCCTGATCATTAAATTAAATTAATGTAGTCAGTTCCAATCATAAGAAAACCTCTGGGACTTTGTTTTCGGTTCTCCAAATTCAGTGGTGGGCCCAAAACAGAAGATACACGCTTACACATACATAGTATATATGTAAATACATAGTATACATCTATACATAGTACTGATAGATGTGGCTCATTTTGTGTTCCTTTTTGTCCACATTGAGGTTAGAAATATTTATTTACAAAAAAAAGTGAGTAGGAATGCTACCTAATATTTTTTATTATATTTTATGTATTAAAACTGGTCCAATAATCTATTAATTTTACAATGACTAATTTATTAATAAATACACTTTAGTCTACTCATCAGTGTCATTGCGGTTGAGTGTCAATATGAAAATTGTGTTTGAGCCCAGAAGCGTTTCTTCGGGTATAGTACTTGGTAGATATCTTGTTTTGAATTTTCTTTTGTATAACACAAATAAACATAAAAACTGAAACAAGATAAGACTTGATATTCTGGTTAGTATACAGACTACTAGATATTTCTTGGAATCAATTTTGTGATAATCTTCATTCGTACTAATAAATCAAATTCACATACCAAAATTAAAATGTTATTTCAAGCGTTAATTGTAGATAAGCCTCTCTGTTCATGCTAATAAATACATTCATTTCAATAAGTAACCCATATCACATATATAAAGGTACAAAGATCCTATCCACAGTAAAAAAATATTATTGATTTGTGGATATTGGATAAGCGATTTGGGTCTTCTGCCCAAAGGCTTTATTACTTCACGGTTTGTCGTCTGTGTATTTAGATTAGAGGAAAGGAGACAGCCATCAAACTATTCATACTTTTTTAATTATTTATTAGGAGGGCATATAAAAATGAATCAAACGCCTAACTAAAATACAGAAACAAAATTAAGCGTTTTAGAAATTTGCTTGGTTTAAGATTACTTAATTAGAAGAAAGTTGCAACATTTACAAACATAATAGGTTTTAATGATGTGTAAATATTTAAACTAGGAGATAGGACAGATGGTCATAAAGACTGAAAATACAGAATTTGGACTATTTTGTTGATTTTCCAGGTTCAAAGAATAATTTACTTGTGAGGAATCGACAATTAATAAAATATTTTAGTCTCTTTTTTTATATGAATTTTATGGTTTCTTTTTTTACGGCCGAGTTCTTGTTAATATTAATGGGATGTTCAGAAATCGTGAGATGCGGTCTGGTGTGATGTAGGTTTCAAAAAAACATTTTCTTTATCGTGCCAATGTTTCGATCTTTATTGAGATCATCTTCTGGGCTCAAAGTGTTTGTTTTCTGTGTGATTGTGCCATTCTTGCGTGTCGAGTTGAGAGTGCCCAACTCACCCTCAACGTCGTGTGAAGTGCACAAACGCATCTCACGATTTCTGAATAATCTTCGACTAACGGTCACTAATCACCACACATTAATGGTGATAAATGCATTAATAATATAACAGATTTTGATCTACCTCCCATTTTAAATATGTACATAAATAATATCAAACATTCAAATAATTAAACTAATTGTTTTAATTGTTATTATTTTTATAGTAATTTAATAATATTAAGTATTTACTAGTATAATATTTATTTGTGTTATAATTTCCGCGTTTCGCACGTTCAAATTGAGCGCCATTCAAAAAATCAGCTGCTAATTGGAACGTCGTCGCGTTGGCGGAGGTATCAGCGGGTTCACTTTGGCAATTCATGTCGAGAGACGTGGTTGTAGAAGTCCTTCAACCTGATGATGAGCTAAAAGGCTCGAAATCCGGATCGTTGCAAAACAACTTGCTGTGAGTAGGAACTATCTTTTTAAAAAGGATTGAACACCACACTCACTCCATCATTTATCATTTCCATTAATGGGATGTTTAATTTTTGTAACACATCTAAGCTGACAGTATTTTTTATGACACTCTCACAGTGTTTTTTCTAAGGCGATCAACCGCTTTGGGTCATTTTCCGCCTTAAAAAACTTTCAAGCTGGGTGGTGAGTGGGCCACAGCTCAGGAACCCCCAATAGCGGAAACCAGGGCCCCGGCAGCATCACATGCCCCAGACACATCCCCCTTCACATCCACCACCAGATGGGCACCCAAACCGCACCCTAAGACACCTCCCAACATTGAGTGGATTACAGATTATTGCATACTGAACTTGAATGATTTTGTATTAAATTATTACATCATTTTATTTTCATATTTCCGAAATTAGTTTAGTTTTTTTAAGGAAAGTTACTAGTTTGTCTATTTGGTCGAAGTCATCACCAAGCGAGTCTCTGATGTTAGTTAGAATTTCCAACGGATGTCTTTCTTCTACATATTTTTTGCAATTTGTCAAAATATGTTTAACTGTTATTCTTTCTGTGAAAACATCACAAAGCGGAGTCTCTTTTTTCCCATGAGATAAGAATGAGTAAGCCTACAATGACCAATTCTGAGCCTAGCAAGGACAACTTCTTCGTGCCTGGAACCTCTATGAGATGAGGCCCAAGGTTTTACACTGTTTTTTATCTCCCTAAGTTTGACATTAGAAGTCGTTTCCCACTCTGTTTGCCATAACTACCAAGACTTTCTTTTATTCCAAGCTGTCACACGGATTTTGGTGTTTTTGTAATTTTAACTCCATTAAGGACGGAGCAAAAGGTTTACGTCAATGGATAGATCTAAGTTACAAGTTCTTCGAGGTATCAAATTGCACAATTCGGAATTGTTATATAATTCTTAATTATTGAACGCCTTGATATATTCGTTCATTCAATGTAGAGGTAAATTCAATGCTGTTCTACATTCAAGGAAAAGTATATTTTAATATACTTTACTTTGGAATAAGTCATCAGGAATTTAGCGATTTATCCAGAAACTTGATTAGATATCGATTGAACATGATAAAACAATGTGCGAGCATGGAGGAAATAGGAAGAATGTTTTTACAAAAACCTGACCATTTAAGTATTTAAAGACAAACTGAAGATGGCGAAATGCGTCAGACCCAGCGAGAATAAGCGAACAACAACGATCGATAAGTACCAAATTTCAGGCTTAACACTACACAGATCACAAAGAGAAATCTCACTACTTAAGAAATTTAAAATTTCTAATCTTCTTTAGTAGATTGTCGCATAATTGTCTCAAGATCTACAACTGATTTTTTTTTTCGAGGGTTCGCAACAGCAGAGGTCATATCAACCCTCAGGATGCCGGTGTTTTTGAAAAAAAGCTCATTTGTAAGTATGTCGGGTTCGAATGCAGGGCCGCTGGGATTCGAACCCGGGACCTTTACCTTACAGTGATGAGCGCCGTGTCAACGCCTAAACCGTTGCGGCCACCGACGCCCCCTACAATTGATGTTCTAGGGATGTTTTATCACACGAAGTTGTTTTTAAAGAGCAAAATCCTCCTAATCAGATGGGATGCTTGATCTCCCACTTAGTGTCATTTTATAAAGCGATAAACGTATATTTCGACAAGAATAAATCGATTCTCTTTTACTTATACCACCGAAACTGTACGACATGTACATTTTAGTCAATAAAAAAATGACCTACGAATTATGTTAAATATTGTAAGCATAGTTTCCCTAACCACAAAACAAACGCTCTTCGTCGCAATTAATTATTAATAAATTGGCAGAGCATATTTTTAGGCGTGAGAAAATGCGACAGCACGGGTACTGCTTAATGCCAACAAGCATTTATCATTCGACCTCATTTTATAAATGCAAAATTTCAAGAGAACGTTAAAAAGTGAATTTTCATTTTGTTAAAAGGAAAACACTCTGCTGGTTCCTCGGAGGAAAAAACATGACATCCGGATGAAAATGCGGACTGGTGTAAAAAAAAAGAAAAAAGAGAAAGAGAGAAAAGGAAAAGCATAAGGGTATACTGCATGGAGGGGTGCAATGACCTAACGCACCCCGTACGATCCCCATTCCGTAAATCTTGACAAAACCACCCCTCCTCATTCCATTTTCCGCTTTTACTCGTTTATGACAATGCTTTTAAACCGCCCCGCAGACACATAATACTGTCAACGTTGTCCTAGTATATGTTGAACATGGAAATCGGATTAAGAGTTGAATGTTAGCTTCAGAAATACAAAACTTTACTTATTTAATGAGCTTAATTTTACGTTCCCGTCTGTTTTCTACGTCGAAAATAGGCTTTTCTAACAAAAACCATCAGAATGTAATATTTCATCTGTTCAAAACATACCTATAAATATGTATATATTTTTTCTGGGGTCACTGGACACGATATCTTCCTTCTTTTTAATCTATTGTGGAATATATAATATAGATAATATCTTTATTTCCATAGGTAGTTGAGAACATTCCGCCATTTCTCCTTGCCTAAGGTCAGTCTAATGTATCATGGAAGAATCGGCAAAATTCTGTTTCATTTTAATTTTTCCCATTATTTACAACGTGGTAATTAACTAGTAATATTTAGTGTAAAGGGCTATTATTATTTTCAATTCCTGTTGAGAGAAAGGTGGATTTTGGTTTTCTTGGTTCAGATTTGCAGGATCTGGGCTTCTTTTGCACCTAGTGATTTCATCGAGCGTGTAATCGGGATGGTTACCATCCCTAACATTTAAACTGTTCAAGAAATAAACAGTATATCTAATAATAAGTTTTTTTAAGGTGGTAGAAACCGTTTTTGACGAAAAAATCTTTTGTCTTTGATCATCTTTTTATCATTTTCATGTTTTAACTTGATCAACTTGTAATATTTAATTTGAAGACTCTCTCCTGTTATGGATATTTAATGTCAAAAGCAGCCTTCACAACTGAAACCTCGTCTTTTTTTTTTTTTTTGCTTTGCCATTTCGGCATCCGCCACACTACTTGACACACAGATACATACGTATACATATATACAATCATACACATCTTACGCCAAGATAAAATTGTGTGTTAAGTTTTTATGCCGTAAAACTTGGAAAAATCCCTCCAAAAGTTTTTATACTTTTTTCTAAAACTTTTCCGCAAATAGAAACTTTTTTCCCTTTTTTAGAACAATATTAGGTTAACAACTGAATTAATTAATTTTATCAAGAAGGTTTCTTTTAAAAACGCCTTGTTACGAGCAAATAAATGTGTCTGTGTTGAGAAAAATCTGGAAAAAATTAAAACTTTAGGTTTTTGCTCAAACTTATCAATTCGCTAATTTTGGAAACTCTCAATTACAAATCGGTAGTACACTAAAAAAATGGTAATTGATCATAATAGATCAAATAGATTTTGAGAAAAGGGCAAATTTATTAGGCTTTGTTTATAACTAATGATGAAATATCTGCTGAAATACTGTAATATTTTAGTTTATTGATTAATCAAAAAATAAAAATATTTATGAAAACGAAATGATTGTCAACATTGAAATAGACGGAATAGAAATGACGGTAAACAAAAACATAAAATACGATCAAATCAGCTGTTTGTCCGGAAAAGGGTCGCTACCCTCATAGTTGTATTGAAGTTCCTACACAATAAACTAAAAATACGTAAACTGATGGTAAATATTACGCCATGTGAGAAGCTTTCCATTAAATTTAACAAATTAACGTCCAATTTTTACAAATCGCATAAGAATAAAAGAGTGCTAAAATTTACATTTCTTATAGGAGTTATTTATTTATTTACGGACCGAAATCCACTATAAAAAAAGACATTTTACAAAAAAAATATATAAATAATATATGTAAAAATACAAATAATATATATGAAAATAATAAGGACGTATATACATGGTAATAATATGAATGGTAAATATAAATGATAAATATAAAAATACAATTAAAGAGTAAAAACTGAACAACAAAAATGAAAGACTTAATTACTAACCAAATAAGGCAGAGGAAACAAAATAAAGCTGAAAGACAATTGAAACTACAATAATTAGGTACATATTTAATGAAAATAATGCTCTTTGTAAACATATAATAAGACTAGAGTGCGAGAATTAGTTGAACCAGTAAATGAAATAAATTGTAATAATTTTGTACTGTACAGTATGAAATATAAAAGCATTCAACTAAGGTTGCAGGATATGGTTTTTCACAGATTGCGCAGAACTATTGAAGAAGTCAATGCTATTGCAGATGTTGTTACTCTTGATCATCATTCTGTGTAGAGGAGAAGAGAGCATGTAGTTAGAGCTTTGGAATTCAATATAAAATAATTTATAGGTTTTAAGAGAGTGCGAAGGGTCATGTAGCTGTAATAGTAACCATCCCTACGAGTTAGTTGAATTAGTAAAATGTACGCTTATGCTTGAAAAGTTTCACATGTTATCTCAAACATTAGGAAATCTTATTCTATTATGGCTTAGAGTAGATAGGAAAAAGCTTTATGTTCATTTAAATTCATTAAAGTAAAAGACAAAAACAATTTAACTAATATTTATTCTTCTCTTTTTCCTTCGTAGTTGTTTGCTTATTTTAAGTTCGTTTTTAAAGCGCTTTTCAAAAACATACAACCATTTCGACGTATAATTTTATTACAGCGATTCGAAATGGTTGTATGTTCCTGAAAAATACCTTAAAAACGAATGTATATAATTCTTAAATTTATTTTTTATTGCTAGATAAATTTAAACCAATCAGCAAGAGATTACACTTAAATTAGTTTCCTTACGGAAGCTTCCTTCTCTTTTGCAACGCAAACAATCAAAAATGTAGAAAAAAATTGTCATTGTCGAAACAAATAGAAAAATCTACTTTTAATGGAGCAAAACCGCAATTCTTCGCTGAACTAGTTAAAACTTTGGATGCTTTCTGGTTGTATGTTTCGACCTTCGTACTTTACGTCTAAAGTGTATTTACGATCCGCGAAGATCCTAGTGCCAAGAAGACTGGTGCACTGCAGTTAAACAAAGCAACATTTTCTAACATAAAAGAGGAACACTCGGCAAAGTAATTTTTTAAAAATAATTTATAACAGTACTTGACGATTGGTATCAAATATGTTTTTTTTAATATGAGTTTGTATAATGCACAGGATGATTGAGGGACAATATGTTTCAGTTTAGTTCAGGGGGGGTTTCTACACCCGAAAAAATACATTTTTTTCTTGATTTCTGCATGATTTTCAATAACAGGGGTGATATTTGTTGTTTATTTACATAATTCATTATATTCACCAGTTTTCGTGGTCCGCTTAGTGGATTCGAATCTCGCTTGTGACACTGACTTTTTTATCTCAACTAAAAACCTTAATTAATTGAATGATAATTCATTATTTGATTATACAATTTTGAAAATTTTTATAGACGTTAATAGTTATTAAATTTGTATGTTGTACTGACTGTCACCACTAATGCCTAGTCGAGTGTATGTGGTGATAAATGTAGCAGTTTTTGCTGATTAATTATTAGTTTTTATGGTGCTATATTCAATTATGTAAAGTTAAAGGATGTTAGAATTGTAGTTGTAAATTAAGTTGATGTTTACTTGAAGTATTAATAGTGAGAAGTTTAAACGGGGCGGAGCGATGGAAAGGTAAGCATTTAGCGGCCAGGACCTTCTCGATTTAATAATACCTTTGTGCTCTAACACAATGGATTTGTTCCCCTTTGGTACGGTATTTAATTACGTGGTTGACGAAGTTTATCCTTTGGAGGCTTTACGGTTTCTTAAGTGGTGAAACTCTCCGAGGATTGTATGAATAATACGGGCGATAACTTTTCCTCTTAAAGATTTTAATGGAAAAAAACTCACCTGAATCCTGCGCCCTGGCGTATTCGGCGATGTCGACCGCTTTGCCGTTCAGCACCAGGTCCCGGATGCATCCGACGAAACCCTGGCCGAGGAGGGCGGACCAGACGGAAGACGGTGGATTCACACCGGCTGCCAGACCCCCGACAAACAGGCCTCCGTCGAGGTCAAGTTGATTCGAATCCCCTAGAAAACAAAAGAAAAAATGAGAATTTAGTTACGGACAGCTTTTAGTGAAGATATACGTTATTACCGTATATTATAAGTTATTTGGTCAATCGGATAACGAAATATAATGGATTTTATAAGTAAAACGAAGTATATCTTCGTTAAAAGGTCTCCGGCGCCATTTCAATTGTCGCCGATAATCGAATCCTGATTACACGACATTTGAAAAATGGCAAAAAGGAGGGAAAATTCAAAAGGTGGGGTTGAGATGGGAAGTTAGTGTCCGAGTGGATCGAGGTCGCGATAGCTCAAGTGGTAGAGCAGCGGCGTATTTAGCCGAAGGTCGTGGGTTCGAATCCCGCTCGTGCCATTAACTTTTTTTCATCTCAACTAAAAACCTTAATTAATTGTAATGTATTAATTGGTCAAGCGGACCACAAAATATAATGGATATTTATTTATATTACAATTTGTATATTTGAAAGGCTACATAATGTATTTATTTTATTACGCTACTTCATTTGAAATGATCAATTCATTAGTTTTCGTGGTCCGCTTGGCCAATTAATATCATTAAATTAATTAAGGTTTTTAGTTTAGATAAAAAAGTCAGTGTCACGAGCGGGATTCGAACCCACGACCTTCGGCTAAATACGCCGCTACTCTACCACTTGAGCTATCGTGACATCGATCCACTCGGATACTAACTTCCCATCTCAACCCGATGGATCGAAGTCACGATAGCTCAAGTGGTAGAGTAGGGGCGTATCTAGCCAAAGGTCGTGGGTTCGAATCCCGCTCATGACACTGACTTTTTCATCTGAACTAAAAACCTTAATTGAATGATATTAATTGGTCAACCGGACCACGAAAACTAGTGAATTTAATAAGTTAAAATGAAGTATGCTTCACTAAAGCTCTCCGTGGCCATTTCATTTGTCGCCGAGAATCCAATCCGATTACACGACATTTGAAAAATGGCAAAAAGGAGGGAAAATTCAAAAGGTGAGGTTGAGATGGGAAGTTAGTGTCCGAGAGGATCGAAGTCATGATAGCTCAAGTGATAGAGTAGCGGCGTATCGTCCGAAGATCGTGGGTTCGAATTCCGCTCACGATACTGACTTTTTATCTCAACTAAAAACCTTAATTAACTGAATTAAATTGTCAATAATGATTTTAAGCCTTGTAGGTTGACAGTCGAACTTTTGCCAGTTTTTTTCTTTGCTGATCTACCTGGTACTTATATTTTCACTGTCTGTTTTATTAGATGTTTGGTTTTATTATGGAAATGGTTTTGTAATACATACCCGGGGTGGTGAAGTCCGTAGCGTGTCCGTCCACAGTCAACCTCCCTTGTTTTCCCGTTCTCTTCAATGTCAGCTCGTGCCAAGAGCCGTCGTCGACCCTCCTCGTCGTCCCTTTGATTTTCGCCGGCCCGGATCCCAGGTCCAGATGCAGCCAGATGTGCCCTTCGTCCAATTCGACGGCGAAAAGATCAGCCTGTAACAGCCAAGGAAAAAAAGAATTAACCCAGTGAAAATTAATATCGCGAGATTTGTCAGAGCGGAAGTACTCAATTTGACGACCCGTTATGATCCGCGGTAAACAAGCCTATCGATCATTGGGCTTAGTTAGCGGTTTAATTCTCCGGCCTATTTGTTCACTTCAACACCACAGGCCGATCATATTTCAGCTCATTCAATAAACGCTCTCGGATTCTAGACCGGAGAAATAGGGGGGACAGGGAATGAGCCCTCATTTGATTTTATGCGAAACAGTCATCAATCTTTTATCGACGTGCGATAACACTTTTCCCGGCTTACCGCACTGGTATCATTGAGTCCGGTGGAAAGTAAAAAACTGAGTTAACAGACAGGAAATTTATGTCCCTTCCTGGGGAAAGAAAATATTTGTTTTCTCTTTATATTCTAACACCTCGTATTACTCCCGTCCAGGTAATTTGTCATTTAACAACGATCTACTAAAAAGATAGCTTAAACAAAAAACATTCTAACACTTTAAAACAATGTTTATTTGCACAATGAAAAATTTAAGTATTTAAGAAAAACAACAAAGTGATTCATTAAACTTTTTAATGACTTTACATCGTACAAAGGGTACTTTCATTTTTTTATAGTTTTCTTTCGATATAATAATTGCGTTCTACGATATACTTTACTGATAAATAATAATAGTAAATCCATATTTTTCAAGAATGCACATTACATATACATTTTCAACAAAAAATAATAATTTAGTACATTCTTGCCTGCTGTCAAAAAAACAAAGCGTGTACTGGGCAGCAGAAATTTTTTGGAGATCTTCGGAGAAATAAACAGAATATATCTTTACAAAAAAATAATGTAAAACAAACATAATACAGAATAAAGGCATGGTATGAAAAATAAACAAAAAACAAATTAAATCTTTGCTTTAAAATAGCTTAACAACAATGTAAAATTTTTGAAATTATAAATTTGTTCTCTTCTTTGTAGTTTTTAAAATTTTGCATAAAGATTCTCTCTCTCTCTCTCTCTCTCTCTCTCTCTCTATATATATATATATNCAACATGCATATATATATATATATATATATATATATATATATATATACACAAACATGAACAGTATTCATTACTTTAAATTCACATGATAACTTTTTTCGTATTATATCCTTAGGGATAGGGATAAAAGAGGCTGCCACAAGGACTACTGCACCTCGACCTGAATAGACTCTATTGTGCTCCCCTGTTATTTAAAACTACTGGCTCGCTTCAGTTTATAACCAGCCTCCACAACTTTGCCAGCAGCTCCTTGGTGTAGGATCTTGCTTGTGGTTTTTCTTGTCCTACATAGACCTTCACAGAAACGTAAAATGTGTTTTGCGGTCTCCTTCTCTTCCTGGCAGTACCTGCACAGTGTTTCTTCTGTCTGTACTCTTATTCGGTGCATGTGCTTTCTTAAGTGGCAGTGCCCGGTCAAGAATCCAACCGGAATCCAGTAATTCTTTTGTAAGTTTTGCGGATGGTCCTTATGAATCTTTTCGCGTGCCTCATACCTGTGTTATTCCACCAGGTTTTGGACTCATTAAGGATCCTTTCTGAGATCTCTTTTGTGGCAGGCTGTTATGCCGCAGTAAGGTTCTGGGCCCATAGTCCATGTTGGCCCCATTTTTGGCCTTTTTGTTGCTTCTATGCCCCGAATGTCCAGGGACCCATGCCCAGAGTCTGGTCATAAGTGTCAATGACTTCCGTCAGGGCCTCCATGAAGTTCCAGACACTCTTTGCCTTCGCCTAGCTTAGGATTTACGGTTTACATAAACACGTTTAAGAAGCGAGTTTATTAGTTACCCCCTCCCCACCCCAGAAAAAAACACTATAGGCACTTATGGATTGTGAAAGAGAAAAATATATTGCATTTAAGTGTTCAATGTTCATAAATTGATTATTCAGAAATCGTGAGATGCGGTCTGGTGTGATGTNTAAAGATCGAAACGTTGGCACGATAAAGAAAATGTTTTTCTGAAACCTACATCACACCAGACCGCATCTCACGATTTCTGAATAATCAATTTATGAACATTGAACACTTAAATGCAATATATTTTTCTCTTTCACAATCCATAAGAGCCTATAGTGTTTTTTTCTGGGGTGGGGAGGGGGTAACTAGACCGCATCTCACGATTTCTGAATAATTATCCATTTACGGTCACTAATCACCACACGTTTCGATCTTTATTGAGATCATCTTCAGGGCCTGGGATATACACATTGGCAGAATCAATACGTAAATTAAATCTCAAATTTGAGTCTATTGTCACACCAAGATATTTGACACTATAAGCAAAAGGGATAGGCAGCAAGAACACTCATCATTTTGATCACAAGTATGAGAAACAAATTTTAAATTAGTAGTATTTAGTATGTTTTTTAATTGAAAAGTGTAGTACATTACATTTTTTCTGTTTAAAAGTAGAAAGTTTGAGTTTAACCAAAAATTAATAATTTTTATACCATTGTTTATAGTTTTAATTAAATTAATTAAATTACCATCTAAAAATTGATACAGGTCTCATTTGCATAACTAAATATTTTCCCAGAGAATTTAATTTTCAAAAATCGTTAATATCTAAAAAAACTAAATTGGGCATAAGACTGTACCTTGTAGTATTCCCGATTCAACGCGTAAAGAACTATAGTTTAAGGGGAATATTAGAGATACCAATAAACTCAAATTTTTTTAGCATCAACTTATAGTCAACAGAGTCGCAAGCCTTTTTATTGTACAGAAACAATCAAATAACAAAATTCCCTTAATTAATTTCTTGTGAAATCAAATTCGCAACATCAAACAAATCCTGCTCAGTGGATCTGCCCGGAAGAAAACCATACTGTTTTGGAGAAATTATTATATTTTCAATAAAGAGGTCCAATCATCTATTTTTAATTGGTTTTTCTAGCATTTTGGGTATGGATCAAGCTAACGACATAGGCCTATAGTTATAACAGGGATTACAAGGAAATTTTTAAAGGCAGATGGATATTGACCATGTGAATAAGTTAAATTAAAAATGAAATATAAATTAAAAATAAATTGAAAGGATACAGTATAATTTTGCCGGCTCATGGCATTATACAGCAAAAAATACCAATATCTGTGGGGTTTTTCCTGGATAATCACCCCTTAATTGCGTTAGTTTTAATCGAAGATTTATCCATTTGAAGCATTGTATCGTATGGAATTAAAGTTTTCACAAGTGCTATGTTTTGTGTGCCTTTCTCCTCTTTTGTATGGTTGTACGTACATTCAACTGGACTCCACAATAAAAAAACCGAACGATCAAACTGTAGTATATTTATTCCTAACCATCCCTAAAATGATAGAAAAGGATAGAAATCCTTTCGCTTTTGCGAGCGTTTGGAGAAAAGAACATAAAATTAAAACTTTTCATGAGAGCCCTCCAATTTTAGAGATATTTTCATTCCAAACGCGATTGGTTATCACTGAACAGTCCTCGGGATATTTCTGTGAAGTGTTTTTATTTTTATGAGAAAATAACTAACAGAAAATCTACTTGTTTTGGAAAACCGTATTATTTACTGTGTACGTGCCCCGTACGTAAAAAGCATCAGTTTTTTTGGTTTCTTTTGAGCGCATTTTCGGTTTTGTCGCGTTTCTTTTACAGTTCGTAAATAAAAATTCAGCCTGGTAGTTTTTGTTCTTCTAAAAATTCAATTTTATATGCATCTATACACAGTATTTAGTTCTAAATTGTCGAATATATTTTTTAGCCTAGGTTTTTTCATATATTTTTATTTTTGGTAAAAATACAGAATACGACTGTTGAAAATGCTACGAGCAATAAAAAAATAGTTTACAACCCAATAACTACAACTATATGTACATATATTGTATTGCATGTCTGAGGGCAAGCAAAAATATAAACAGATAAATATAAAAAAATATTCTAAATACAAATTCTTCAAAAAACAAAAAATAATGAAGAAGGGCAAGTAAAAGGTGATATATATATTACACAGGGCGGGCGACCAGGACCCGAGGGGTTAAAAGCCTGGGTAGGCCCGTACCCCATCCCTCAAAGGTCCGGGACCTGGTCGGCTCACGAGTCCTGCATAAACCTTTTGGACCTATTCACAAACCCCAGGATTGTGGACCATTTTATCCTGAGGAGTGTTTTGGTTATGTCCTCTCCTTCGAAAGTGTCAAATCTTTCCCTAGCATACCTATCGCATTCTGCAAGGTAGTGTCGAGCCGTTTCTTCTTTTGTTTCGCAGAAGCGGCNTAGAAATCTTGGTAGTATGATCGCGGTATATATCCATTTGGCCACCCATGGTTTAATACCCCATGTTCTACCAACGATTCTCCTACACTGCACCATGGATATAATGCCTTTCCTATGTATATTTTTGATGTGGCCTTTGATGTGAAGTAAAAGGTAGGAAGAATCAAATAAAGCGGAATAATTAAAATGTATTTTTCAACAATGTATTCGGAAAAAATTGCAAAAAAAATGTTATATGAAAACTAAAGAAATTTTTTTTTAGTCTACTCCATAAGCTTAGTTTTATTATTGTATAATTGAGTTTTGTAAAAGCAAATCATTAAAGATGACATTTTTCCTGTTCAGGCTGTTGACATTTTTAGAGAGAATTTTATCAGTGAACGAGTTTTACATGACTACGAGTTACTATTATGACTAAACGCAAAATTATTCATAATCTTTTAAATATTTAGGGTATTTATTGAAAATTTCAGTCATACTATAATCTGACGTACAGTAGACACACGACTAGGTTATGGAATTTTGTCCGTTCATTAGAATGCTGCGCGTTTGGAAAAATTATTAGTATTTCAAACCATTGTACTAAAGTAAACGGGAATTATTTTTTCTTACTCATGGGCATAATTAATTTATAAGAGTAGTTAGTTTTGATTTTGTTTAAAATGTTGACCTTTTTTTGACAAATGTACACACAAAA